CTTTATCACTAGTGTCCCTTATCTCCCTCCCGATCGCTTGCCGATCAGCTGCTCAGCGGCTTCGTTTCAACACCCCCTTCCCTCTTTCTTAAAAAAATTAAAAGCACGATCTGCTTTTCGCCCCTGGGCAATTCGGCTCAAGGGACCACACATTCGCTCCATAAGACGCACAGACATTTCCCCTTACTTTTTAGGAGGAAAAAAGTGTGTCTTATGGAGCAAAAAATACGGTAATACAACTTTTACTCAGTTGTACTTATTTAACATTTCCAGGGGATAAGAGAAATACTTTTGTGTGTGTAAAACAGTCCGCTTGAGTTTTGCATTTTAAAAAGATCCTCAAGTGATTTAATTTTGTGCCTTTCCTAGAGCATGCTCCTTCTATCCCCTTTCCCTCCTCCTCCGATACCAGCATAGCAACCGTGAGGGCCTTTATTTCATCTGGTGACTGGCTTGCTCTGGCCTGTTTGTCATGTCTCTGTAGAGTCTTCTTTTGATGAAGATGACTTTGATGAAGACGCTTATTACGCTGCCCTTGGGACTCGGCCACCACTCAACATGGAAGAGTTGGATTCTTCCTATCAAAAGATCATTGAGCTGTTTTCTCTCTGCACTATGGAGGAGCCGGAAAAGCGCCCTGCTGCTGCACATATTGTGGATGTTTTGGAGGCGGAAGGATGCATACAATAAGTGCCTTCTTCTACAACCCTGCATTACTATGGCAGCTTCACTTTCTTTTAGAAGTTTCTCTTATCGCTTTCTGTGTAGTGTTCATACATGGGGATATGGACTTTTAGTTTCCCATAGTTTTATATTAGAACTGGAGGCTTTTAACAAGGTTTCATTTAAGCTATTTAGACACTGACTGTAAATATTCCGTATTGCACAAAGTTGTGTCTTAAGTGACACACACACACACACCCTTAGCTGATAAGCTGATGCTTAGCAGTCTTGTAGTTAGTTTTTCAGTATTGTAAATATAAAGCAACTTGGTCAGGTCTTTCAATTCCCTTCCGTGCTCCTCCTCTTGTTCTGGTTGTGTTTGCGTTGTTCATTTTGATCTTGACTTGTACTTTTCTCTTATGAGTAAATATCAGAACATTTGTGGCTGTTGAAATAAAACCTTTCAAACTTGTCAGTTTGGCACAAAAACTGCTTTATTTTCTTGTTTAGAAAATGCCTGTTTCCTCTGGCTGTTTGGCAGTGAGGTGATGTTCCTTGTATCTGATGTATCTGAAGAAGTGTGCATGCACACGAAAGCTCATACCAGTAACAAACTTAGTTGGTCTCTAAGGTGCTACTGGAAGGAATTTTTTTATTTTGTGATGTTCCTTGGTTACCTTTTGGCTTTGCACCACCCACGCACCTGCATTCTCATTCTTATGGCTGCTGGTTTTAAACTGGGCTCTCCTGTCCGATGTAAAGTCAGGCCCCTCTGCATTCAACTACCATATTTTTCGCCCTATAGGACGCACCGGCCCATAGGACGCACCTAATTTTGGGGGGGGGGGAATAAAGGGGGGGGGAATTTTTTCCCCCAGGCGCGGGGCTGGGGCGGGGGAAGCCCGAGCTTCCCCCGACCTCAGCCCCCAGAACATGCAGCTCTCCGCAAGCGTGGGAGCCCAGCGCCGGGCTCCCACGGCTTGCGGAGAGTTGCGCGAAGCTAAGCCTGAGCACGCTGCGCCTCCAAGCTTGCAGGACTGGCGGTGGGGCTCTCCTGAAGCCTGGAGAGCGAGAGGGGTCGGTGCGCACCGACCCCTCTCGCTCTCCAGGCTTCGGCGAAAGCCTGCATTTGCCCCATAGGACGCACGCACATTTCCCCTTCATTTTTTGGAGGGGAAAAAGAGCGTCCTATAGGGCCAAAAATACGGTACTTTTTGGGCTAAGGATCTAGACAGTCTGGGTTTCATTCCCAGATGAGTCCAAACCTCCAAGGAGCTTGTTAGGTAGGAAGTTGAAATCCAGTACCTTTGTTAGTATACTCCCAGTTCTTATTACAACATGCTTGGGGGTCAAAAGTAGACAAGACAGCAGAGATGGTGGAGTTGAGGCTTAGATTTGTTAATTACTGAGGAGAAACTGGGACAAATATTGGGGTGTTCCTATTCCAGATCATTCATGTAGGGTGGGATAGAACTCTGCAATGGCAAACAAAATGGCATGACGACCATACAGGCACACAAAGTTTAGCTGTTTATATGCTGATGCCATAAGGCTCTGAGCCAAGATGGGGAAACTAAGTAGTGTTTGGTACAGAACACAGTGGTGCCCCGCAAGACGAATGCCTCGCAAGACGGAAAAACCGCTAGACGAAAGGGTTTTCCGTTTTGAAGTTGCTTCGCAGGACGAATTCCCCTATGGGCTTGCTTCGCAAGACGAAAATACCTTGCGAGTCTTGAGATTTTTTTAAGCTTTCCCCCTTTATCTAATCTGCTAAGCCTTTAATAGCCTTTAATAGCCTTTTAGCAGCTAATCCCCTAAGCCTTTAAGCCTTTAATAGCCGCTAAACCGCTAATAGCGCTAATAGCGCTAATCCGTCAATGGGCTTGCTTCGCAAGACGAAAAAACCGCTAGACGAAGACTCTCGCGGAACGGATTAATTTCGTCTTGCGAGGCACCACTGTAGTGGACATAAAAGCAGTGTGGGTTATAGAAGACGATCCCACCTCATGCACAAGATATCTGAAAGGATTCCATGTGGGGATTAGGACCATGATACTGAAGAGGGTTTCGTTTCAGAGATTCTACTCTGATAAACCCAGAGGCAGCCGCCTTCATTTGAATCTGACACAAAACCCCTACAAGAGATGATGTTCCCACATAAAAAACTTTCCTAAAATACATCATAAGCTGTTCAGTCACTCTAACAGGTGTATTTGTGATGTTAGTGTTCTATAACCTCAATGGCATTGCTCTGGCACCCACTTAAAGGAGTAATACAAGTAAGAGTTGCATTGGTGCACCAACTTCCTGAAAATTAATGAAAGGATTCCCCTGCCACTTCAGCTTGATACAGTGGTACCTCGGGTTAAGAACCTAATTCGTTCCGGAGGTCCGTTCTTAACCTGAAACTGTTCTTAACCTGAAGCACCACTTTAGCTAATGGGGCCTCCTGCTTCTGCTGCGCCACCGGAGCACGATTTCTGTTCTCATCCTGAAGCAAAGTTCTTAACCCGAGGTACTATTTCTGGGTTAGCGGAGTCTGTAACCTGAAGCGTATGTAACCCGAGGTACCACTGTAGTTTTAAACCCTTCTGGCAAAAGTCCCATTTTCAGCAAACAGGCTGTATGCGTAGCAGAAAATTAGCTCAAGGCCATGAAAGGGATAGCCAGGAAGCTTACTCTTAGGTGATAAAAGATAAATTACATAACGAAGCAAGGCCCCATTTCCAGCTTTTGTACCTCCATTTCAGTGAGATCAACTCCCCTTTCCATTTCAAGAGGCTGGAAATGGGTGTTTGCCCATTGTGAATCTTTTCCTTCTGTCATTTCAATACAAGTAACTCCATTGTCTCCCAACAGATGCCACTAGTAGTAAAAACAGAATGATGCACAAAAGAGCAGAGGTGGGCCTACTCCCAAGTTTGTGGGATCTAGTTTCTTTCCTGCCCCAGGACCCTGAAACTATCAACTAGAGCAGAGTGCAAGGACATGGCTGAAGCAGGCAGACGCAGAATCAGAATCAGAGAACTGTACAGTTGGAAATTCTAGTTAGATTGTGGTCCAACCGCTGCAGCAGGAACCACAGGTACAGCGAAGAATTACGGACGGTGTCACTAAACACAAGCTCAGCCCAGTAATTCATGATCATTATCAGAATCAACCCTACCTCTTTTCACACCTGGTTCTCGTCTCTATCTCTGACCCCACATTCTCTTAGCAATCTAATTGGCAAGGGAGGGAGCTTTTCAGTTCTTTTCAGCCACTGTTATTCAAGTGGAAGTCTCTCTCTCTCTCTGCCTTATAGGCTTTACAACCTGGCCACAGTGATCCATGCGACGGTCATCTCCAGGCTTGACTACTGTAATTCGCTCTGCGCAGGGCTGCCCTTGAAGCTGTCCCAGAAACGCCAGCGGGTGCAGAATGCTGCAGCGAGGCTCCTCACGGGGTCTCTGCCATGGGAGCATATTCACCCAGTGCTTTTCAAGCTGCACTGGCTCCCGGTGGAGTACAGGGTCAGATTTAAGGTGCTGCTTTTGACCTTTAAAGCCCTTCACGGCCTAGGACCCTCGTACCTACGGGACCCCCTCTCCCGGTATGCCCCACGGAGAGCCTCAGGGTCCATAAATAGCAACACCCTAGTGGTCCCGGGCCCTAAGGAAGTTAGATTAGCTTCAACCAGAGCCAGGGCCTTTTCAACACTGGCTCTGGCCTGGTGGAACGCTCTGCCTCACGAGACCAGGGCCCTGCAGGATCTGATTTCTTTCCGCAGGGCCTGTAAGACAGAGTTGTTCCGCCTGGCCTTTGGCTTGGAGCCAATTTGATTCCCTCCCTCCCTCTCTTTCTTTTTTCTTTTCCTTCTCCTCCTGCGATGAGGCTACATTTTAATATTTTAATGTTCCATTATTTTAATGTTGTATTTTATTTTGTTTTTAAGTTGTAATCATTCATCTTGTTTTTATTATTGCTTGTAAGCCGCTCTGAGCCCGGCCTTGGCTGGGGAGGGCGGGGTATAAATAAAAAATTATTATTATTATTACATTTCTGGAGCACATAGAATAGAAAAGCGTATCTGGGCATATAGAAAAGACAATAGTGTAGTAAGTTAGCTATCAATGATTTTCATTACAAGTGAAAGGATATAGGTGATTTTTGTTTTAACCCCATTTAAACTTGTGAAGACTGCTACAAGTTCTCTTTATGGGCCAGACTTTTTGGCACCCCTATCATATTCCTAACAGACTTCACCCACAAAGGCATACTTTTCCATTGTCTCCCAAGACAGATGGAAGCCAACAAACCCCACCAGACACAGCAATATTGACATGAACTCAAAGAGACAAAATTACACAAATATTTTATTTGAACAGACTCGTTCGAACAAGGTTTAGTGCAATAATTGCAGCAGTTCCCAGACGCAGGCTCAGGATTCAAAACCCAATGCTTTAGGATTGCAAAAGTAGCCTCAAGCGCTACCAACAGGTGCAAAAAGAATATTTAACTGGCCCATAGCAGCATTAGAACATCTCAGACTCTTCCTACCTCCATTCTGTAAGGAAGATTTTACTCTTTGTCAAGAGTGACTTTCTTTAGCTTAAAGCAAGAATGGAGAACCAGTCACCTTCTAGATGTTGCAGAACTACACCTCCAGTCATCTCTGACCATTAGGTCCAATATATGAAGAACCACTGGCCCCTGACTTCAAACTCTCACCTCAGATCCAGCTGGCTAAACAAAAAAGCCAATCTTCTATTATAGTAATAGGCTTGACAGAAGGAGTTCAAAGTTTCGGAACGCTGGAGGCAGAGGATACAAATAGCTCAAGCGGATGTCAGCTGTAGATAGACTAAGTTGGCCTTCTCTTCGTACCATCTAAAACTTACAATCAACTTTCAGAATAAACTTTTTAAAGCAACACAAACATGGTTTGTTGCCGCTCCTAATTTATATTACAATGTTAAAATGCAGAATATAACACAAGGAAAATGACAAAATAGCTTGTTGAATCTTCATAGGAAGACACCCTCAACTGACCTTAACTAATGAAATTATAAACAAGGAAGTTGGGTGTTTGGCAATACCTGGCTGCAAATAGCTTGCCATCTGGTGTGGGGTCAGAAAAAGCAATTTCGTTGGTGTTTAAAAAAGAGCCAAATAAGAATGTACGTCTGGAAAAGAAAAGAAAAGTTATCAATGTAACGCAAGGATCCAGTCCTGTTTTCATGCTCATTTCAATTTACGGTCAGTTTGTATATTTAAATTTGTCAGTATTAAAAGAAATGGGGAACACACCAGACATGCAAGGAGTGCCTTTTCCCACATCACTGAACACTCACAATCAGTGTGCACATTTTTCTGGATTAGAAGGAAAAGCTTGTTTTAAAAAACTAGTGTTATCTGAAACTTAAGACTCCCACCAAGCTTCAATGTGTTGTATAGGATCTGCAAACCTCTCGTGGGTGATGGCTGGGGAATACTTCTATGGTAATGTATTCTCACAAGCCTTGGTTCATGAAGAATGTTTTATGCATGGGGTGGTTGCAAGGATGTGATCTGCATCAGAAAGTGGGCCTTGGGGTGGGGTGAGGAGGAACGAAGATTGTTCTGTTTCTGTTATACAGAGCCCCAAACTATCACTGACCAAAGCATATGCACCAGGCTTGGGAGTCAGAGAGGCAGTTAAGTCCAAGGTTCTCTCAACCCCTTGCTATATGTGGTTCATACACCAGATCTTTAAGCAGGAACCAGCTCCTAAGTATTACTTGCTGGTAAACCTCCTTTAAAGCAAGCTGAAAACTGGCTGTAATCCCAGAAGGTCATATCTGAGAACACTGTCTACTTTTATTTCAGATATGACATTTCCTTACCTCATCACATCCACTAGACGACTGGCAATGCCTCTTCTCCGCATCAGGCTGAACACCCAGATTCTGCTGATCCCACAAAACACCTTCTCTGGCTTTGTTGAGCAGCACCAGGCACGCTGAGGCTCCAGACTGTCATTAGTAGGAGACCCTGACACGGCTGGAGGCTCTGAAAGCACTTGGTAAGCCTAGGAACAACAGGATATGCTTATAACAAGGCAGTGGGGTGGGGAAAACAGTAGCAAGCCTCTAACAAAGCATGCCATATGCAAGGCTTCAATGGGACGCACCACGATGCCCAAAGCATCATGTTTGGGGCGTCTGTACCAAATGCCAGAAGTGCCTCAATTATTCTTGAAGTAGAGAGTTACCTACAAATGTTATCCATAAAACATTTGTTAGCCTTTAAGAAGCTATTTTTACAGCAACAGATTAACAATTGCCACACTTTAAATGCTATGAACAGCCAGCCATCTAGGCATGGGAACGTGTCAGTGGGCTCATCTCTGGGGGAGAGCCGCAGTGGAATGATACCAGCTCAGAAACTCATTTAGAATGCTGTTAGATCAGGATAAGGGACCAGCTAAAAGGCTCTAAAAGACAGATTTGTTCTGACATACAAGACAGCAGAGAAAATGTGCATATTCGTTTTTCTTGCAATTGGCCTCTCCTCCCCATTTACTTTTTCCTTTATCTAGGACAAGAGTGATTTAATGCTCTGGAAGAGGTACCGTATTTTTTGCACCATAACACTCACTTTTTTCCTCCTAGAAAGGAAGGGGAAATGTCTGTGCATGTTATGGAGTGAATGCCTGCGGGTGGCGGGGGGGATCTGCTGTAGTCGTGAGCAGAGGATCCATGGTTCCCCTTCCTTCCCTCCTCCGTGGTTACAAAGCATGGATCCACATGGATCCTCAGGATTTTGCATTGGGCTACTCCAAACTCACTGTCAGATCACATGTCTGTGGCCACAGCATGAACCACAAAAATCATATATCCACTATTTCGTTTAGAATATTTTTTTTCTTGTTTTCCTCTTCTAAAAACTACATGCGTGTTATGGTCTGGTGCGTGTTATAGAGCGAAAAATACGGTATATTGTGCAGCTCCGTTAAGCAGATGACACTTCTTTCTCTGTAAAGGGAACTAACCCAACAGAATCCACTAGCTAAGGAAAGGATAAGCCTGCTGAGTCCCATCTAGCAAGGACCTAGAACTACAAGCAGAAAGAGGAGTTGCCAGGCACAGTGGAGACTTGCAGACAGAGCTCCACTCCACATTTATCAAACTTGATGAAGAACTTTTACTTCCCATTTCTAGCAGTATGTTTCCCTTCACATCTAAGAATGAACAGCAGACACTCCCAACCGCTTTTAAATGGTTTCCATACTGTCAAAAGAGTTTAAAGTCCTGCTTTCAGTGCAGTAAGAGTTACCAGCAGACGGGGTTCTTAGGACTAAAGTGGTTTGCTTTATTCAAGTAGCAAGACACGTGGCTGAAAGAGGTCTAGTCAACTGCATTGCTCCTTCTCTTTGCCAAGTCACAAACACCTCTAAGGATGAACTCCTGGATCAAGGGTCTGCCCTGATCCAGATTATCGCTCTTTCCACTTGGCAAATTACTCACCTGTCTGACCGGCTCAGCAATTAAGCAGCCAACAATCTTCTTTTCAGTGGATACAAACAGATACATTTGGGTTGGACAGCGCAACACAACTTGTTTAAATCCAAGCTCGTTATCTACAAGCTCCCGTACAGCTTCAGCCTGTGCAAGGAAAATGCCATATATAAAGCTCAGCAACTAAACCAGACAAAACTCAATCCAGGTCACAACAAACATTTTTTTTCTAAATACATTGCTACTGTGCCTTCCAGCAGTTATCCGCAGAAACAACTGAAGAACTCTTGATTACTCTATTTTTCGATCTATAGGACGCACCCGACCATAGGACGCACCTTGTTTGAGGGGGAGAACAAGAAAAAAAATATCTCCCCCTCTCTGCGCAGCGCCCCTTCAGTGAAGTGGCAGGAGAAACAGAGCCCCTTCCACTTCTCCTCCCGCTTAGCTGAAGGGGCACCTACCCTTCAGTGAAAGGAACCTGAAGCCTCCGGAGCACAGTGGGAGCGCTCCCACTGTGCTTCGGAGGCTTCACGTTGCTATCGCTGAAGCCAAGGAGCCTGCATTCGCTCCATAGGACGCACACACATTTCCCCTTAATTTTTGGAGGGGAAAACATGCGTCTTACAGAGCGAAAAATACGGTAAATCCTAAAATCTGAGGCAACAGGTGTATTTTTTTTGTAACAATACAAGAAGTGTGGCTGGAATAAACACCCTAATTTTGCTCCAAACAAGGTAATTTATTTAAATTGAAATTTAACAAACTAAAAAGGAAAAGAGCCAGAAAAAGGAAATAGAACTGATATGGTGAGGAAGGTAGAGACTTTCCCTTATTAAAAAAAACCCCACAAGAATACATACAGTGGTACAGTGGTGCCTCGCAAGACGAAATTAATCCGTTCCGCGAGTGTCTTCGTCTAGCGGTTTTTTCGTCTTGCGAAGCAACCCTATTAGCGCCTTAACGGATTAGCGCTATTAGCGGTTTAGCAGCTATTAAAGGCTTATCGGCTTAGCAGATTAGCTGCTAAAAGGCTATTAAAGGCTTAGCGGCTTAGATAAAGGGGGGGAAAAGCGAAAAAAAAATCTCAAGACTCGCAAGACATTTTCGTCTTGCGAAGCAAGCCCATAGGGAAATTCGTCCTGCGAAGCAACTCAAAAACGGAAAACCCTTTCGTCTAGCGGGTTTTCCGTCTTGCGAGGCATTCGTTTTGCGGGGCACCACTGTACCTAGGTTTAAGTACTTAATTCATTCCAGAGGTCCGTTCTTAATCTGAAACTGTTCTTAACCTGAAGCACCACTTTAGCTAATGGGGCCTCCCATTGCTGCCGCGCCGCCATCGTGCGATTTCTGTTCTCATCCTGAAGCAAAGTTCTTAACCTGAGGTACTATTTCTGGGTTAGCGGAGCCTGTAACCTGAAGTGTATGTAACCTGAAGTGTATGTAACCCGAGGTACCACTGTACACACTTTAAAATTAGTTCATTTTACTTGGAGGCAGGGCAAATATTTTACACCAGTTGTGGAGAATCTCCAGCCTGCAGGCCTACCAAGCTGTTTGGGGTGAACCACACCCACCTTTGTGAGAAGGGTCAATCCACAACTAAAAGAAAAAAGAACCAGGAGTGTATGCTCCAGATTCTTCCTTTGCATCAAGTAGCAGACCACTCCCATTTGGAGGAGCAAGACTAGAAGAAAAGTCAGCACCGCACCTTTTTGATGGCATATTTTGGATCATCCTGAAGAATCAAGACAATTTTTCCATCCCAGAATTCTGCAGCGACATGTTCATTCTTCCAGCTCTATCAAAAGGAGAAAAAGACAGAAGAGGGCAAAAAGCGTAGATGCCCAAGAGTTTAATTCTTGAGAGTTGTAAACCACTATATATATTAGTCATGATTAAAACAACCTGCATGATCCTTTACGGTAGTCTTCCCCAACCTCTGGGCCTCCAGATGTTGGGCTCCAACTCCCGTCAGTCCTAGCCAGCAAGGCTGATATTCAGGAACAATGGGAGTTGTACTCCAAAACATCTGGAAGGCACCATGAAGAGTCTCAGCCATGCGAAAGACACTCAGGTGAAGTACTTCCATAATTTTTATATGGCAACTCACACAAAATGCTGGAGTGTCTGCTGGATTGTTGAGCTCAGGTAACATTTGTGCTCAGTTTCCTAAGAATTCCCTGTTCCATTTAGCAAGGTATGCTCTAGGGAATTCTGTTGCCCAAAACAAAATCAATTCACAAAGGATACCATGGTGCATTTAGTTTGTGTCTTACCACATATTTTATTCCTTCAAGGAACCGCTGATGATACTGGGCATGCTGTGTTTCATCTTCTGGGCTTGCAGCTGAGTAGACCATACCACATGATTTGCAGACAGTGGCACCAAAATGTTTCTGGCCAGCATCCTGTCAGGGGAAAGAGGGAGTTACCATGTTGCAATGCCCAAACCAGCCTGAGGCATCAGGAAAAAACTGTACAATGTTTTAGGAGCAGTGTTTATAAAACTGATTAGCGGCTAAGATAGGCTTTTCTATTCTAAAATAGAAGCTCCAAGTTGGATGGCATTAGTTGACCTGACAGTCATTAACAATATATTCAGAAATATACTTACAATGATCATCTGATCTTTGCTCAGTTCCTTTGTCTTCTTGCTGGTTCTCAGAATGGCAGCAACCTTCTGTCCTACTGGACTGAACGATACAGCTGATGACTGCTCATCTGAGAGACTGTGTGGCCTGAAATTTATTTAAGGAATTTATATCTTGTAGTAATGGGTTATATAGTAAATATTCACCGGGGAAAACAGGTTCATAAAGAAAAGTGTCAAAACTGAAGAACTCCTTTCACCTACGTATCACTTCTGAATATCAGAACAAGATTCCCATACCTTTTTTTGTTGCTGGAAGGTGTACTGAAAAATGGATGGGTGTCACTTGCTGAAGATGGCTCTGGGGAAAAGAGAAAAAAATAATGTGATTTCTATCCTCCATTGGCAATTTGTGCCAGGTCCCAATGACATGGAGAACTTTCTCTATTCAGAGTATTGTGATGAACATGATAGGGTGGCCTACCAAGCTTTCCATGAACACAGAACAGATGCATCTGAAATTGTAATATATTCTCAATGTTACTTACGCTTATCCTTGATTATCGTACTAGAAAGCTTGCTGGAAGAGGCAGTCTCGTGCTTGTCCACGTTTTTTGGTGATCCCTGCAAGATTTCTTCAGGGTCCTAATGAAGAAGACAAATGTTTTTCCGACAAGGCAAATTTTCAAGGTGCCCCAATAATAAATTTTGCTACTTGGTTATCCCTTCAGAAGTTTCCATTTAAGGTTTGAGGGAATGATCTGAAGAAATGCAATGGAGCAACCTTGCTGAAAAGAAGCACAGATCTAGGTCTGGTCAGTGGCTTAATAGAAAACCACCACTGCAAACACCACCTTCCATGTCATGGAAGAAAGGTGGGATTTAATAAGATGCACTAGCTGTCATGGAATGCCAGAGTGACCATGGCATAGTAACATCTCTAAAACTGTTGACCCAGTGAATTCTGTGAATGTAAGGCAGAGATTTCTGCAAATTCCTCATTTTTACTGCTGAACATTATGAAACCCTTTTTCAAGTCTCCAAGTTGCTGAAAGTTAAAATGTGTGGTGACTAGAGATGTCCTCATCCCCGCACCCAATTCTGACATTTCATACATGGAAAGCCTACTGCAGAGAGGCTACTCAGATATCAAATTTTATGAATTTTTGGCTTTGGCCTTTCAGTATTTTTTTCTGAAGTAGTGTTAATTTATGGCTTTATTGGATCTTCCTGATTTTGACACCTGTGTTAATATTAAGTGTTTATTATACTGTGTTATATTAACTGAAATTTTCTTTGCTTGCTTGTGAGATTTAAAAAAGAATTAAAGGATGGCGTATAACCTGCTAATGTACAGTGCATTCAACACCATAATACCTGAAGGATCGCCTCTCCCCATATGAACAGATCCAGACCCTGCAATCATCATTTGTGGTCCTTTTTTTATGTCTCTTCCACAAGAGGTCCGGAGGGCGACAACACAAGAAAGGACATTTTCTGCTCCAAGTTTGTGGAATGCTCCACACAGGGAGGCTCACTTGGAGCCTTCATTACATATTGTCAGGGGGCTGCCATCAGGGGAGGGGAGAGAGGCAGGAACGTACAGAGAGCCTCCCCCTTTGTTGAGCAGCTGCACCTTGTCCGAGTGTGGTTAAGGCGAGCCCTCAGGAGAAATGGATGAAGAAAGAAGGGGGGTTGATGAAAAAGGCTCACTCAGTCTGAGATGAGCCACGACACCCCTCCCAAGGAGTTGGAAATGCTTCTGTCACATAGTTTTCGCCAGGGAAGTAAGCGTAAGGAGAAGAGGCAGAGAGGGGGTTTTCCCAGGCTTTTGTGCTGGAGGGCAAACCAGAAGAAACCACTTCCGGAATCTGCTAGTGATTGAGGCAGACATGGATTTTGGACTTCTGCACTGTACATAGTTTTTGCACTCAATAAAACCTGTAAAAGACAAGTCGGAGTCCTGGCTGTTATCTTCGTGAGCAACCACACACATTCCTCACATTTCTCTTCAACCAGGCATCTGGCTGATTACCACTCTATGGCTTTTTAAAATGTGTTTGTGGGAGGGGGATTATTGGTTTGCATTTGCTATTTGCTTTATTATGCATCATGTGTTCTCATGTTGTATTTTTATGTTTGAATCACTCTTCGGGTGAAGGGCAGTATACAAATTAAATAAATATTCAGTGGACAAAACATTGTCTACACACGGTGAAGTTCCAAAATTGTGTATCGCAGCAGAAATTCCATAAATGCAAACTTTGGTTACCAGTTTTCATAGATTCTACATACCTGAGTTCCAGCATCAGCTTCCTTTTCTACCAGAGTCTCTGACCAACCGGAATGAGACGTTTGGAGAGGGCTGGTATCTTGCAACAGGTCCACTTCACACAGAGTCTCCTGCCTTGTGTTGCAGATCAATTTCACACCATCTTCCACATGATCGTATTTTTTCTCTTTTGGGCTTCCTTTCCTGCCTGCTTCCGTTGCTTCGCTTTCAGTGGACAAGTAGAGCGTGGAATGAGCCAGGTGTCTGCCCGGTCTCTCTTTTACTGTGGGCTTGCTAACTGAGCAGGGGGACGATGGAGATGAAAGTATCTTCTTAGAGCCAGGCTGCCATTTCTTTCCAGTGGCAAAGAATGCTGCCCCCGTCTGGAGCTTTGGCACAGGTTTGAATTTCATGCTTAATACTTTAAGAGGATTCTCCACTTTATCTTGAATAGCACAGTTAGCATCCTTGTTCCCCTCCACAGGCTTGGGAAGCACCACCTCTACCTTGGCTTTTTTGGTGTTTCTCGGCAAAGCCTTGGCCTGCCTGGAAGCAGCAGGGCGCTTGGGTGTTTTTGAAGGCCTGCTCCTGTTTGTCATCACTTTCAGCTGTGTTGTCTCAGTCTTGTTGGCAACAGGTAGGTTCCCGTCACCATTTCTTGGATTCAGAGGATGGCTTTCATTTGCTAGTTTCCTCTCCAGTAGGTTTAGATATTGCTTCCCTTTGTTGTAAAAGGAGCTGGGGGGTACAATGGAACAGTATGCGCTGCCACACTCAGGAGACGTTCTCTGTGGAAACTCCCTTTGTATCCCCTTTGGCACACTGGCTGCTTGTAGTGGAGACTTATCAAGCTTCTGTGATATTCTTGATGCTTGGGACAGGTTTTGATTTTCTTTTTCTTCATCTTGGAAACTCAGCATTTGAGATACAGTACGGTGTCCTGCAGGATCTGTTATAGGCAGATCCTCAGCGAATTCCATCATCAGTTTTTTCGCTGGATTCCTGTGTACTAGTAACAAGCTGCAAAATGTAAAGTTAATGTTTATTTTCATTATGCATAAACATAACACAGTAAAACGCCAACCATAGCCGGTGACGACTCCATATCCAAAGTATCATACACAGACCATATAAAAGAAAAGTTAGTGCACTGAGTTTAAATTGCTTCCTCCAGATACAACTAATGAACCATGAAGGCTCTCCCAGTGAGGTGGATACTGTCCTTCAGGAGACTCTGGGAAAAGAAAATCACAGTAAGAATTTCCGTTACATTACCCAGAGGCTCCTGAGGGACAGTCATTACATCCTCTACGGTTTGGGCACTGGACTGGGGGTTGAGGTCTGGCTGGTGTGAGGAAGTGTAATCCGTTACAACAATATAAAGTTAATATTTCACTCTTTACTTAAAGGGGGGGGGGAATAAAACTTTTTGCACATGATAGCATTCTACCTTTAGCAGAACCTATGCAATCTTTTAAAAGAGCTAGATTAGCCAGTTGAAGATACTGAAATTTGGTGCATTTCCACATGTGATGGATGTGTAAGATGACAAATACATATTGGAAGATGATAAAAAAAATCAAGTTATAAAGATTTACGGGTAAGGATATGGGTTCCTACTGTTTCCTCTGTTCTTCCTATTAAATTATGTTTAAGCAATCAGTGAATTCAGAAGAAACATAATTAGTTCCCTGTATTATCACAGGAAATTACGCAAAATATTGGAGATCACAAACTGGATCTAAATGAAATAACACAACAGTGTCTCTTACTGTTAAGTTGTGGGTGAACATATCAGACCACACAGCGATTCCTCAAACAGCTCTTGTTTATTCACAGGCCAGAACAGAACTGAACTAAAGGGTTCAGCCAGCCTGCTTATATAGAGCTCCAGTACAACACAACTGTAACAACTTTCTGTAACTATCCAATCACTGAACGTCACTTTCAATCCCTTATTTGCATATGTGGACCTGAGTGAAAAACTATCTACAGTATCCCCCTGCTGGCCCAGGGTGAGAACTTCAGTACATAACACTTACACAATACACCTTACTCCAATTTGGACAATGTTAAACCAAATCTCTTAATCATTAATTCAGAAAGTGAAGAATGAAAGTACCTAAGAGGAAGAGAGCAGGATGTTGTACATTCCAATCGTTTTGTAACATCCCAAAACCAACAGTAATACATGTATAAAAATAATTCCCTCTGATTTTTCAAGTCACAACAGTAGCTAAAGCTCTTGGATAACTTGCAACGGCAATCTCACCTGTCAATACTGCGTTTTCGCTTCCTTGGAGTAACAAACGCCATGTTCTCAGCAAAGTGCCTACAAGTCAGAGGCAGGTGCGTTAGTCAGTTATGTGTTGACAGGTGTGATCTATCTGCCTGCAGAGCCAGGATTAGAATGAGAACTCATGTTTGCATCCCTTGCCTATCTTTGCAAGCCACTGATATTCCTGATCCGCCCCCCCCCCCCCAGGCCAGTTTATACTGGCAGACCCTTTAGCCTTGGGACAGCAGCATAAAACAGCCTGCGTCTTTTTGCTTCTTCCAACAAGCTCACATGCTTCAACCAAAAATCAGGCAGTGGAGTAGTTTCTGCATTCTGGCTGGAGCTGAGGAGAGCTGCGGTGCAAAGCACTGGGGGGGAGCAGGCTTAGGCAGCCCCCAGGCCAGGAGGCTCCATCAACTGGCTGGGCCAGAGCAGCGTAGATGCTTAAGGAAGGAGATGCTTTCTGGATCAGGCTAAATGGGGCCCCATCCAGTTAACCAGAGGCCCCACAAAGAAACCCACAAGAAGCTTAGAGAAAAAGCACACTTTCCAGCAACTGCTATTCAGAAACACTGCTGCCTCTAATGGGAGAACCACAGAGATCCCTTGCCTCTCGCAAGAGCAGAATAAGAGAATTGTAGAGTGGGAATGTGGGGTCAGAAATGATTATTGATCCTGTTTTTATATAAAATAACCAGCTATATTTGCTTCTGCATAAAATTGTGCTTGCTGTCTATGCTTCCCTGCTGGAGGAATCTATCAAGTGTTATGCTAAAGAAAGCCAGCTTGCAGTCCATCAACTTGGCTTTTTGAAGTTGAATTTCTTCTTTTGTCTATTTGTTAGGTAAACGGACCCCTGACCATTAGGTCCAGTGATGGACGACTCTGGGGTTGCTGCGCACAGCTTCCGGGTCATGTGGCCAGCATGACTAAGCCGCTTTTGGAGAACCAGAGCAGCACATGGAAACGCCGTTTACCTTCCTGCCAGAGCGGTACATATTGATCTACTTGCACTTTGTGCTTTCGAACTGCTAGGTTGGCAGGAGCTGGGAAAGAGCAATGGGACCTCACCTGGTTGCGGGGATTCGAACCGCCGACCTTCTGATCCAAGCCCTAGGCTCTGTGGTTTAGACCACAGCGCCACCTGCGTCTATTTGTTAAAGGTAAAGGGACCCCTGTCCGTGAGGTCCAGTCGTGGCCGACTCTGGGGTTGCAGCGCTCATCTTGCTTTATTGGCCGAGGGAGCCGGCGTACAGCTTCCGGGTCATGTGGCCAGCATGACTAAGCCACTTCTGGCGAACCAGAGCAGCGCACGGAAACGCCGTTTACCTTCCCGCCAGAGTGGTACCTATTTATCTACTTGCACTTTTGGTGTGCTTTCGGACTGCTAGGTTGGCAGGAGCAGGGACCGAGCAACGGGAGCTCACCTAGTTGTGGGGATTCGAACTGCCGACCTTCTGATCGGCAAGTCCTAGGCGCTGTGGTTTAGACCACAGCGCCACCCACGTCTACTCGTTAATTACCTCTTACCAGCTCTTGTTTGGAATGCGTTAAGGTTAAGGACTCATTTTACCGCTCAAGGCCTGTAGATAGCCAAGAAGCGCCTAGGAGTGAAAGATTTACAATCCAAGACAACAAGAATTAGCAGGTGCTGACTTAAGAAAGTACGCATGCATAATTACCTCATGAATATTAAAAGGCACACCCTTTGTCCTTAAATTACTAATTTAAATGTATATGGGATGCACGTGACTGTATGTAACAGTGGGGGCACATATCAAGGAGTAAGGTAGGAAAAAGGCGTTCAAGGAAATCTGTCCGCTGCAAGTTCTTAAACCAATAGGAATTAGGGGAGTAAGGAGAAAATGAATGTTTAAAAGTTTCCAGCAGTCCTCCGGGGTCGGCCATTCCTTCTGTACATGTACTTAGGTAAAATAAAGATCTGTTCATGGATCCTCCCTGTCTTTGCAATTCACTAGCTCTCTGTTGCAAAAATCGCTCAGGGTTTGAAACCAGACCCAACAGAAAGGGGACCTCAGGGGTCATCTAGTCCAGCCCCCAGTCCCTACTCCCCCCCCCCCGTGAATTTGTCTAATCCTCTTTTAAAGCTATCTTTATATAGATTATATACACACACATATTGGGGGGGGGGGGAGAGAGGTTCTGCTTCTCCATATAGAGATAGATGGACTTCTAGTTCTTTCTCTCCCTCTGTCGTGGCCTTTGGCTGCTCCCACCCGCCATCTCATCGCTGCCTCCGGTGGCAGGGAGTTCCGCAGCTTCACCCTGCCTTTCTTTGCTCTGTCCTGAACCCCAGCTTCATGGCATGGCCACAAGCACCGGCGTCAGGAGGGAGAAGAACCGTTTCTATGTCTCTCTTCTCCCCCTCCTTCATTTTATTTATCGCTTTATCTTTTATTTATTAGGTCAAGCCCTCCGCGCTTCCTCCCTGAGGGGCTCCTTTTCTACGTGCGGGGAGTTCCGCGCCAAAGTGGGCCGAGGCGCCTCGACCGGGAGGGAGCCTAGGGAGATTTCAGGCACCATTAAAACCCTCAAAACATCGCCTCCCGCCACTTTCCCCCTCACAAAAACCGCCCTTTTGCTCCATTTCTTACCTCACGTTTCCCACCTCAGAGCTCCCGCCGCTCTTTTCCCCTCACGGCGCCGCGGCTCCGTTCGAAACTCTCCCCGTTCGCGCCTTCACGCCCATTGGCCAGCCGCGCCGCCAGTCCCAATCGCTGCCTCGGCGATCATTGGCCCGAGTACAGAGCGTAGACTCTGGAGGCGGGACTAAAGGAAGAAGCCCGCCTTTCGCGGGCTCCCTGACCAATAGAAAGCGCTACCCTCTCGCTGTCAACAAGTCCTGGCCAATCAAATGATGGGAGAAGCCCGGGTTTGGGCGCAAGGCATTGTGGGGATTGTAGTTTCTCGCGGAGCAACGGGGGGGGCAGGCAGCGCGCTTGCCCGGATTCCGACGGATCGTGGACGGATCAACTTGCGCGTCTGATGGCTTGCTGGCTGGATTGCTGGGCTCAGGGCAGCTCAGGGAGATCCCGAGTTTCTTGCATTGCATGGGGTTGGGCTACATGATCCTTAGTGATCCCTTCCAAAAAATCTCAGAGAGGGTCGCTGCTGCTTCTCTGCTTGCTTACTCAGAAACAAATGTCCTCTCAGAAACAAATGTCCACTATTGTGACTTTTGTGATTTATCCCCACAAAACACCTCATTAGAGTTTCTTCCTATGTATTCAAAGGGCCTCTGCTGCACGATACTGATAAATGTATCTCTGTACTGCCTCACTGGGAAAACTTCAGAAATTCATCTAGACCTGTGAGCTCAGCTCCTCAGCAGCCCCTCTGCCTGAGGGATAATCCCTAGCATCCTGATACCTGCGTGCCAGACAGGTAGCCATTCCAGAAATAAGGGTGGGATGAACTTGGCTGGGAAACAGGGAAATGTAAATATCTCTTTTGTCCCACTGGATGGGTGTTTGGTGGAGGGCAAGGGGAACCATAGGGCAGGGTCCAGGATGCTCAGATTCCGGCCACCAGACCTCCCCTTTCATAATGTAACCATGATGTAGTTTGGGGGGGGTGTAACATGGGGATGAGCAGCTAATAAAAGTTTGGGTTCTCTCTTGTTTGGGGCTTCCATCCTGTTTCACCTGGTGGCAGGTGGGAGTCCTGTTGCGACAGTCTTCAATAAAGACCAAGCCTACTGGCTGCTGTTTTGCTCTGCTATTCCTGGCTGGTGGCCTTGTTTTTTGTCCAAGGGAGCCCTCAGATTTCTCCGTTAACACCCAAAAGGGGCATCTGCTTGGCCACTTTGAGAACAGGATGCTGACCTAGCTGGCCTCTTTCTCTGCCCCACTCCCACCAACACCCCCCACCCACAAGCTCACAGAGAAAGTGAGGGAAGAGGATGGGAGAACAGAGATGTAAACGTCCAGCCAATTTATTTGCAGCCTGGAACGAAGCAACACAGACCAGCTGTGTCCCGCCTGTGTAGGAGGATAAGGAAAGCAAAGGTCCCTGCGGGAGAGTCCCTTCCCCAGCCCTCTGGCCACGGAGCCTTTTCCGCGCCAAGGCAAGCGGGCTGAGAGCCTTTGCTGAGGCCCTTAGGGCGCGCTGCTCCTGTGGGATTTCTGCTTGGACGAGGCCTTCTTGAACTGCACCGGGGAGGGTTGCCGGGACAATTTCTTCAGCGCCCCGGACTTTTGGGGGCTCCGTGGCGCCTTGGGCGTGCCGAGCTGCAGGGACACCCTCCGGGAACTTTGCCTGGGGCTGGGCTCCAAGGCATTTATATTTGTGAGCAGAGAGTCCTGCCTGTGGAGCAAGATCCCCTCGTGGTTTGGGGGCTTGGAGTCGTCGGGAGAGGACGAAGGGGACCACGGCCTCTCGGGGGACTTGGGCAGGGCAGGCGGGGAGCCCTGCCTCTTGGGGGGCTTGACAGGTTTGCCTCGCACCTTCGCCCAGACGTTCTTGATGCAGAGAAGCAGCCGCTTCAGGATGTTGGGGCGCTTCTTGGGGGGCACGGCAAGCACCGTGCTGGGGGCCGGCATTCGGAGTTCCGGCTCGGGCTTCCTTTTCGGTGGCGGGACGGGTTTTGGAACGCTCCGGCCGTGGTTTTTAGGCCTCATGTCCAGCCTCTCTGCCGACTGCTGCCTGTGCAGGCGGACAACCTTCTCTGGGTCTCGAGGCTGGGGGGCGGCTGCCTTGTTCTTCCGCCGCTTGCCCTTGCTCCTGTCCAGCTTGGAGGGCAGCCCCTCTTTGCCCGGGCGCGTCCGGGAGGCGTCCGGCTTGCACACCAGCCCCCACTCGTTGGCCTCGGACCGCTTGATCTTCAGCAAGAAGCCCAGCCCCATGTGGACCTCGCCTTCGCGCACGCTCAGCCGGGGGTAGACCACCAGGGAAGGGCTGTACCGCGTGGGTGGGTGGGGGCAGTAGGGAGTGCAGCGGCCGCACAGCAGGCAGACAGGGTACTCCACACACGGCCGGCCGCGCCCCTTCCCCAGCCCCTTGGCCAGGGCTTGGTGCAGGTCCTGCACGGCTTGGTCCTGGTCCAGCGACTCCACCAGCGCGTGGGCCAGGCACGGGGTCTTGCCGGGTGGCACAGCAGGCTGGCACACCTCCTGCTGCACCTTGGCTGGGCCCAGGGCCAAGCAGGGCATCTCCAACTGCGCCTGGCACATGAATAACGGGTCCAGGACTGGTGGGCGGGTGGTGCTCATCATGTCGCGGATTGCCAGCGGCCTGGGGGCTTCGGGTGCAGTGGCGTCGGCCCAGCTCAGGCGTCGCACCTTGCGGTCCAGGGTGGCGCTGATCTCAATCTCCAAGGGCTTGGCCTTCGGGCTAGCGGCTCTTGCCTTTGGGCTGGCGGCTCTGGCCTTCGGGCTGGCGGCTCTGGTCTCCTTGGGGTTGCTGTGGGGCCTCCGACTGCCCCCGACATCCCTCTCCTTCTCCTTGGGGGTCCCGGGTCTGCTCAGCTCCTTGGCCAGGGGGCTTTTGCCAGGGCCGAAGAGGCCAAGGAGAGTCTCCAGGCCCTCCTTGGCAGCCTCGCTGCCCACCTCGCCCGTGGCCAGGCTCCGGAGGCTGCTGTGACTCACGGTCTTGCATACGAGGATGGGGGGAGTCAGTAGCTCTTCCCGGGGCGGCGTGGGGGGCCTGGGGCACGGACTGCGCACGTGGAGGGTCTTGGGCGGGCTCTGGCGGCCTGCCGGGTGGGGCTGAGGGGGCGTGCGGCTGCGCGACCTCTGGCCTGTGGGCAGCTGCGGGCCGGCGGGCCACTGAGGGACCCCGCCTTTGGGAGCTTCGAGGCTGACCAGCCAGGCCCTGCCTTTGGGGCTGGGGTCCCGGCGAGAGAGCATTGCCAGCACTGCGTCCTCTTCCTTCTGGCGTTGCTTGGTGTGGACGTGCCAGTTGAGCAGCTCTTGGGACTTGTAGTCTAGGAAGCCGATCCTGTTGGACGGTTTTGGTGGGTGGGCCGGGCCGCTGGGGTGTTTGTTGGTGGGGTGCCAGGGAGGGGGGGTGCAGATGCGCCTGGTGGTGGAGTCTGAGCAGGGCGTGGTGCTCCCCCATTGCCCCTGCAGCCGCTTCTGGTACAGGCTGGAGTCCTGCTTGGGGCAGGGGTGGGGCTGGTGGGGGGGCTGGTGGCAGACCACCCTGGGGGGTTTGGGGAGATGAGCTGCTGGGGCTGCCGCTGCTTTGTTCAGGGAGGTAGGAGCCAGGGAGGGGGGCACTGCTGACCAGCTGTAGCAGGTGGTGTCAACTTCGACCTCTTCCTCCTCTATATCTCCTCCTCCTCCTCCTGAGGAATGGCCCCAGCTGCAGATGGAGGTGACGGACCCCATGGAGACATTGGACGGGGTCCGTGAGATCCTGGAGAGGGTAGGGGAGAGGCAGAAAGGCAAAGGAAGGTGGTCAGAACAGGCCTTCTTTTGGTTCGTCTTGTTTGTCACCAGCAACGGAATGTTACAAGAATCTTAAGGTCTCAAATATAGAATACAGTGGTACCTCTGGTTGCGAATGGGATCCGTTCTGGAGCCCTATTCACAACATGAACAGAACGCAATCCGTGTCTGCGCATACACGGGTCACAATTTGCTGCTTCTGCACATGCGGTCATTTTGAGTAACCCTTTCCGGTACTTCCAGGTTGCCGCGGGACGCAACCTGAAAACACTCAACCTGAAGCAAACGCAACACAAGGTATGACTGTACTCATAAATGCACACTTATCTAATTATATGAACCATGTGTCTGAAAAGGTACGGGAGAGCAATCCTGAAGCCATTTCAGCTCTCCCAGTGACCTCTAATATTCCCCTGCAGGAAGGGAGGCAAATGGGGAAAGCCTTCCCATTGTCTTTTTACTTGCAAATCCTCTCTTAGGGGGGTATTTGTGTATGAATAAGGTGAGCCTGTGACCTGGATTCAGGAACTAAAGTATTAAGCATCACAAAAGAATGGCCAGGCTGCCCAGGTAATGCAATCAGTGACCATTATCAGGTATCCTGGCAGGCAGGAGTTCTACTGTAGATAGCCTCCTCCTGTGATGTATGTATGACGTTTTGGGGGTTGGTCTTGGGCTACAGGGTGGGCAATTTCAAAAGTCTATATAAGAGCTTGCACACCACTGTTCAGGGTTATCCCTCCTGTGTGTGGGGAGCGGGGACCCTGTTGCAGCAGTTTAATAAAGATCAGGTTTACTAGCTGCTTTGCTTCTCAATATTCTCTGCTTGGTCCCTGCTGTTTTCTCCTAATAACAGAGAACCTACAAAAGGACTCTATATGGCAGGGGTCAGCAGACTTTTTCAGCAGGGGGCCAGTCCACTGTCCCTCAGACCTGGTGGGGGGCCGGACTATATGGGGGGGGCAGAACGAATTCCTATGCCCCACAAATAACCCAGAGATGCATTTTAAATAAAAGCACACATTTTACTCATGGAAAACTCGCTGATTCCTGGGCCGTCCATGGGCCGGACTAAGAAGGTGATTGGGCCAGATCTGGCCCCCGGGCCTTAGTTTGCCTACCCATGCTATGCAGGTTCTAGAATACCCCATAAGGGAAAGGGAGTAGTTTTCTTAGAACAAGAAGAAGAACATTGTGAAAGAAAACAGAAGGGTAAAAAGAAATAAACCACAAAGCACCGTTGCCCAGAGGGACAAAAGTCCAAAGATAATAAAATATTGTTATGAGTTGGCATTAGGCTGAAAGCCTTGGCATACATCTAATTCTCGGAATAGCTAGGCTAGCTTCCTGGTGAGGTAATGGGAACTTAGATAGCTGAGCTGGTAGAGCATGAGGCTCTTAATTTCAGGGTTGTGGGTTTGAGTCCCATGTGGGGGAAAAGGTTCCTGCGTTGCATGGGGTTGTACTGGATGACCCTCGGGGTCCCTTTCCTGAGAGAAACAGAGAGATGCTTGATATCTGTTTGACTCCAAGGCTGTGGCTTGGCGAAGCAAGGCCCTTTGGGGATGTTAATGCTGTGAAGCCCTCCATCGTAGGCTCAGCTTGTATATATGTGTGAATAAACCATATATCTGTGGTGTCTTTATGTGCATCATTTCCAAAAGGAAACATAGACCCTGTGCCTGGAACCCCTGGAAAATTGATCCGCTCGGTTTGTGTTTCACCTTTCGCTTGGACTACTGCCATGTGCTCTATGCGGGGCTCCCTTTGAAGGTGACCCGGAAACTGCAATTAATCCAGAATGCAGCAGCTAGACTGGTGACTGCGAGCGGCTGCCGAGACCACATAACACTGGTCTTGAAAGACCTACACTGGCTCCCAGTACGTTTCCAAGCACAGTTCAAATTGTTGGTGCTGACCTTGAAAGCCCTAAACGGCCTCAAAGGCCTAGTAGACCTGAAGGAGCGTCTCCACCCCCATCGTTCTGCCCGGACACTGAGGTCCAGCACTGAGGGCCTTCTGGCAGTTCCCTGTCTGCGAGAAGCCAAGTTACAGGGAACCAGGAAGAGGGCCCTCTTGGTGGTGGCGCCCGCCCTGTGGAACACCCTCCCACCAGATGTCAAAGAGAACAACAACTTTCAGACTTTTAGAAGACATCTGAAAGCAGCCCTGTTTAGGGAAGCTTTTAATGTTTGATGCATTATTGTATTTTAATATTTTGTTGGAAGCTGCCCAGAGTGGCTGGGGAAGCCCAGCCAGATGGGTGGGGTATAAATAATAAATTATTATTATTATTACTATTATTATTTATTTACTGCCGTGAACCGCCCTGAGATCTATGCATGAAGAGTGGCATACAAATATTAAAATAGTAATAATCTGGAGGGCATCCGGGGGTGTGTGCGTGTGCGTGAAGGCGTCTCTGTGCCAAGGAAGCTCGGATCTGCAAGACCCTCAGACTGCAAGTGCATGCCGTTTTCTAGGATTTCCTTACGTGCCGCTGATGCGTTGCATTTGCCAGGCGAGATACTGGATGTTCTTGTCCAAGGTGTGCAGAGTGCGATGCAAGCTTAGGGTCTCGCATGACCTAAGAAAAACCAGAGAAGCAGAGCAGCATAAGAACTTAATAAGAGTATGCTGGATCAGGCTAGTGGTCCGTCTAGATCAGGGGTCAGGAAACTTTTTCAGCAGGGGGCCGGTCCACTGTCCCTCAGACCTTGTGGGGGGATGAACTATATTTTTTTTGGGGGGGGGGATGAACGAATTCCTATGCCCCACAAATAACTCAGAGATGCATTTTAAACAAAAGCACACATTCTACTCGTGTAAAAACACCAGGCAGGCCCCACAAATAACCCAGAGATGCATTTTAAATAAAAGCACACATTCTACTAATGAAAAAACATGCTGATTCCCAGACTGTTCGTGGGCCAGATTGAGAAGGTGATTGGGCCGGATCCAGCCCCCGGGGCTTAGGTTGCCTACCCATGGTCTAGATGACTCTCAGTGTTTACACTTCTATGACCTTTTGGGAACTGGGACAGATGATGCTGCCTGTCTGATTTTTCATAGAATCACAGAATTGTAGAGTTGAAAGGGACCCCCCGGGGTCATCCAGTCCAACCCCCTGCACTGCAGGAATCGAGGCTCACCTCTTTCCCGATTCTGTGCTTGTGTTCCATCTCACTTCCGTGTCTGTGCTGATGTCTCTTGCTCCTTCTAAAGGTGCTGCAAAGAAAGGCAAGGAAGAGCCCATGAACCGCGTGGCGGCGCAAGCAGCAGCATCCCGGCTGCCACAGGGGTGGGGCAGGAAGGTGGGAGGGCGCCCGCTGCTTACTTATCCATGCTGCTGGGTGCTTGGTCTGCTTCTTCTTGAGACAAGGAGGAACCTGTCGGAGAACAGCAAGGCGAAAAGAACAGAGCTGAAGGCAAAGCAGGGAGGCGGCAACAGAGGCAGGGGAGGAAAAGGCAAGCGGGACTGAATCCCTTTCGTAGTCTGCAGGGCCTGTCCAAGGCTTTCTGCCGCCTGAAGCAAAAGGCAAGGAGTTTCTCCTCCTGGGCAAACGGCTGAATCTTATTTCAACATCCTTCCTTACACCCCGAGGACAGTGGCCTGGTTCAGTGGGTGCAGGGCAGGTTGCATGTCACACAGGCAGAGCTCTGTCCCACCCTGATTGCCATCTATGGCCACTGCTTCACCCTGCCTCATGGTAGTGCCGGCCCTGTTAGTCTTGGTGTGTTTCAGGTTCCCCTCAGTTTTTTCCCCTTAAGAACATAAGAAGCGCCTGCTGCATCATCTTGCCCAGGATCCTGCTCTCACAGGGGCCACCCACATCCCTCTATGGCAGCAGTTCTCAACCTGTGGGTCCCCCGATGTTGTTGGACTACAACTCCCATCATCCCTGAGCTCTGGCCTTGCTAGCTAGGGGTGATGGGAGTTGTAGTTTAACAACATCTGGGGACCCACAGGTTGAGAAGGGCTGCTCTATGGGAAACCCGTAAGCGGGATCTGAGCCCAAGAGCGCCTTTGCCTCCTGTGGATCCCAGCAGCTTGAATTCACAAGCCTTCCTGCCTTTAATAATAATAATAATAATAAAATTTATTTATATCCCTCCCTCCCCAGCCAAGACCGGGCTCAGGGCGGCTAACACCCGATATAAAAACAAATTGATTGAAATACAACTTAAAAACAAGATTAAAATACAACATTAAAACATTAAAATACAGCCTCATTTCAATGGAAACTCAACTTTGAATGTGGAGGCAGAGCTAATGGGGCTGGGAGCCATCCATAGCCTTCTCCTCCTCCATGAACTTGTCCAATCCTGTTTTAAAGAATTGGCCCTCACTGCTTCCTCTGAAAGCATCAGAACAGCACAGAGGGAGAGAGGAGAGGGGGGGTCATTTTGTCCGGATAGAAGAAATGCCGGTGCAAAGAGAGTGCAAAGATGGATCTGTCCCTCTGCCTCCACTGTCAGAGGTGATCTGCATCTGAAAGCCCCTTGCAGCTAGGAATCACAAGCGAGGGGAGGGCTGGTTTCATAGAATTGTAGAATTGGGACACCCAAGGGTCCTCTAGTCCAACCCCCTGCGAGGCAGGAATCTCAGCTAAAAGCACCCATGACAGATGGCCATTCAACCTCTGCTTAAAAACCTCCAAGGAAGGAGAATCCACCACAGGGGAGCCAACTTGGGCCCCATGTCATGACGTCCCTCCCCACCGGCCTTGGAACCTGACTTCCAGTGGTACCGAAACTCAGCTTCCAAGATCTCGAGAGACCTCAGGCACCCACAGCCCCCCATAGTTGGTGCCCCTGGTCCACCATCTCCCGAGGGAGCTAAACATGTTTAGCCAGGAAAACTAAACGGTTGTTTTAGTCATACTTTCTATGAAGAAAGGTTTTAGCATTTACTGGCCTCAGTCCAGTATACCTGAAGGAGCGTCTCCACCCCCATCGTTCTACCCAGACGCTGAGGTCCAGCTCCAAGGGCCTTCTGGTGGTTCCCTCACTGCGAGAAGCCAAATTACAGGGAACCAGGCAGAGGGCCTTCTCGGTGGTGGCACCCACCCTGTGGAATGCCCTCCCACCAGATGTCAAAGAGAAAAATAACTACCAAACTTTTAGAAGACATCTGAAGGCAGCCCTCTTTAGGGAAGCTTTTAATGTTTGATGAACTACTGTATTTTAATATTTTGTTGGAAGCTGCCCAGAGTGGCTGGGGAAACTCAGCCAGATGGGCGGGGTATAAATAATACATTGTTGTTATTTAACCTTTGGGACTTTTTTTAAAAGGCACATAAGAGGTGCCAGAATAGTTTGTTAAAAGTTTTTAAAGTTATGCACTGCATGGAGAAAGCAGAGGGAGAATCACAGAATCTTAAGAGTTGGAAGAGACCCAAAGGTCATCTATTCTAACCCCTTACAATGCAGGAATCTCAGCTAAAGCTGAGCAGAGTCCACCAGTTCCACTGTCAAACAGCTCTTCCCATCAACAAGTTTTCCCAAATGTTTTGTCGGAATCTCCTTTCTTGGAACTTGAATTCTATCCCTCTCTCACAATGCTAGATCTCGCGGATGCTCAACAATGCTGAATGTTGAAAGATTGAGGGCAGATAAAATGCAGCCCTCGTTCATGCAGCGTAGTAAAGACTGTGGAACTCTCTCCCACTTGAGGCAGCGAGTCCAGCAGCAACCGGTTGGTAGGCTATGCTGTTCTCGGTGCCAAGAACCAGAACCCCAGATCTCACCTGGGTCCAAAGGCTGAGCCTTACTTACCCAGGATATTCTCACGTTTTCAGCAGCCCAGTTACCGGCGAACAGCAACAAAAGCACCACCACCAGCAGCAACAGCAAATGGCAGCTATTTGGGATGGCATCCAGCAGGTTTGCCAGCATGGTCTTGGGGCAAGGCAGCTGCTCTGGCCGGACTCCAGGCAGGGAGTTCACAGGGACCCTTCTCCTGAGGTAACGCTTGCATCACAAATGTCTTCTGTAGTCCACCCTGGTTGGCTCAGGGCCTCTCTGTGATCAGTCAGCCAGCAGCAGAATGGGTGGCATTCATCCAGCCCTCTGAGCTGGGCTGGGCTGAGAGGCAACTGCCCCCTGACCCCCAAGAGTGGCTCCTGCCCCACAGCTGAGGTTTCGATTCTGAGATGAGAGGACCTGAAACTCAAGCATGCTTGTGCTGGATATTGCAGACCCACAAAGGCTCCCTCTTTCCCAGATGGACAGAAGCCATCCCAGTTTCTGATCTGAACCTGGAATGTCTTGCTTTTCCTTAAAGGTAAAGGGCCCCCTGACCATTAGGTCCAGTTGCCGACGACTCTGTGGTTGTGGCGCTCACCTCACTTTACTGGCCGAGGGAGCCGGCGTACAGCTTCCGGGTTATGTGGCCAGCAGGACTAAGCCCTTTCTGGTGAACGAGAGCAGCGCATGGAAATGCTGTTTACCTTCCCGCTGGAGCGGTACCTATTTATCTACTTGCACTTTGACGTGCTTTCGAACTGCTAGGTTGGCAGGAGCAGGGACCGAGCAACGGGAGCTCACCCTGTCGCGGGGATTTGAACCGCCAACCTTCTGATCAGCAAGTCCTAGGCTCAGTGGTTTAACCCACAGCGCCACTCACGTCTATTTTCCTTAGGACGTTCTTATTTTCACCGGAGAAATGTGGGAGGGTATGACATTGAAGGTGACCCAGAAACTACTCCCTGGTCCTGAATGGGGTAACTGTGCCCCTGAAGGACCAGGTGCGCATCCTAGGAGTTATTTTGGACTCACAGCTGTCCATGGAGGCACAGGTTAATTCTGTATCCAGGACAGCTGTCTCCCAGCTCCATCTGGTACGCAGGCTGAGACCCTCCCTGCCCGCAGACTGCCTCGCCAGAGTAGTGCATGCTCTGGTTATCTCCCGCTTGGACTACTGCAATGCGCTCTACGTGGGGCTACCTTTGAAGGTGACCTGGAAACTGCAACTAATCCAGAATGCGGCAGCTAGACTGGTGACTGGGAGTGGCCGCCGGGACCACATAACATTTGTCCTGTAAGACCTTCATTGGCTTCCAGGATGTTTCTGAGCACAATTCAAAGTGTTGGTGCTGTTTTAGAACAAGACGGAGATAGACTGAAATTGCAGAGCTTTGAAAAATTAAAAAACAAAGTGCGAGACTGGCTTCATTATTATCAGATAATGGAGGCATTTAAATTGGACAGGAAAATTGGCTTCCAGGTGGAAAGATCTAAATTAGAAACAGAACTGTTAGAACCCAAAACTAAGAATTTGTCAAGAATGTATAACTTGCTGCTGAAATGGAATACCCAGGATGAAACGGTAAAATCGGCTATGATTAAATGGGCACAGGACATTGGACATAACATTATGTTTACTGACTGGGAACAGTTGTGGACCACAGGTATGAAATTTACGGCATGTAATGCCTTAAGAGAGAATATTATGAAAATGATATACAGGTGGTACATAACCCCAGTCAAGCTTGCAAAAATTTATCACTTGCCCGATAACAAATGTTGGAAATGTAAAGAAACTGAAGGTACATTTTTCACCTTTGGTGGACGTGCCCAAAGATTAAGGCTTTCTGGGAAATGATATATAATGAATTAAAAAGGTATTTAAGTATACCTTCCCTAAGAAACCAGAGGCCTTTCTCCTGGGCATAGTCGGCCAAATGGTGTTAAAAAGGATAGAACTTTCTTTATGTATGCAACAACAGCAGCAAGAATACTTATCGCAAAGTATTGGAAGACACAAGAACTCCCCACGCTGGAGGAATGGCAGATGAAACTTATGGACTATATGGAATTGGCGGAAATGACTGGTAGAATCCGTGACCAGGGAGAAGAGTCGGTGGAGGAAGACTGGAAGAAATTCAAAGACTATCTTCAGAAACATTACAAAATTAAAGAATGTTAGAGTGATGTTGGACTGAAAATAAGCGGCTTCCAGCTGTACAGGTTAAAGTTAATGATAGACTAAGATTAAGATTAGGATTAAAAATGTTTAAAGAAATGGAAATTTGACAATTAAGAGGAAAAATTTTAATGTTATAATATATTAAGATTAAAGATTAGGTTTAAAGAAGTTGAAGTCATATATTACAATATTATATTAAAGTGAAAGATTGGGTTTAAAAAGGTTGAAAAGAAACTGCTGGACAAACAATTTGGATTGGAATACAAAAGAAGGAGGTATGAGGAAGTCCAGAAAATAAGTAAACTAAAAAAACGGAAATGGAAAAGAGATATTGTTTTTAATTGTTATGTTTTTTGTTTTTTATTGATGAATTGTGTTTTTTTGTGTGTGTTTTTGCTATCTTTTTTTTGAGATATGTATTGTGTATGTTTTTCTTTTTTTGTTGTTGTTGTTTAAAACTTTAATAAAAATTATTTATTAAAAAAAACAAAACAAAGTGTTGGTGCTGACCTTGAAAGCCCAGTAGACCTGAAGGAGCATCTCCACCTCCATCGTTCTGCCCGGACACGGAGGTCCAGCACCGAGTGCCTTCTGGCGATTCCTTTCCTGCAAGAAGAGAGGCTATAGGGAACCAGACAGAGGGCCTTCTCGGTGGTGGCGCCCGCCCTGTGGAATGCCCTCCCACCAGATGTCAAGGAAATAAACAACTATCTGACTTTTAGGAGACATCTGAAAGCAGCCCTGTTTAGGGAAGCTTTTAATAGCTGATGAATTATTGTATTTTAATATAAGCCGCCCAGAGTGGCTGGGGAAACCCAGTCAGATGGGGGGTATAAATAAATTATTATTATTATTGGTATTGTTATCATTATCATCATCGTACAGCTGGAGAAGGATCAGAAAAGGGCAACCGAAATGTTCCAAGGGTGGAACAAAGAAGAAAGGTTGCAGCGTTTGGGGATTTTTAGTTAAGAGAAAAGGCAAGTGAGAGGTAACATGATAGAATATTATAAAAGTGTGTGGCCAGGGGTACAGCATGTGCGGGGGGGCAGGGGAGCATGAGCCCTGGCGCATGTTTTTTTGGGGGCGCAAGGTTCCCCTTTTCGTTCTGCCTGCTGTGCTGCGTCCCTCCCTGCCCGGGTGGGCAAGGGCACATCACGGCCCTGCTTAGCTCCAGCGGCCAGGCCTGAACCAGTGCGCAGGCTCCGTAAAACCTCTGCACCCCGTGGGTGTGTGCCCAGCAGCGTTGGCGGTGAGGACTGGCCTGGCGCGGTGCCCTGGGGTGCGCCACCCCTCCTGGCGCATGCACAGCTGATTACAGTACAAGCCTTGCATTTATAACCCGCCTTTTCCTTCCAAGGAGCCCAAGGTGGTGCACCTGTTTCTTCCTCTCCTCCTTTCATCCCAACAACGACCCTGTGAGGCAGGCCAGGCTGAGAGGCAGGCCAGAGCTGGCCCCCAAGGTCACCTAGGGAGCTTCCTGGTCGACTGGGAGGATTTGAACCTAGGTCTCTCCCAAATCCTGGTCCTGGACTCTAACCACTACACCCCACTGGCTCTGGCATAGGTCGGTGGCACTTTTGCCACCCTGAGCTCACCCTAAACACCTGCAAGTGTGCTGACCCCAGGCTATTTTGACATCTTAGTTACAGCCCATTCCGGATCTTGCTGGACTGAAGATATTTCGCATGCCTGAATTAGTATCGTATCTTCATTTCTGTTATTGCTGCTGGTGTTTGTTTCTCATATGCTGGTTTTAGGGTATTGTTGGGTTTTTTAAATAAAACAACAACCAAGGGCAGATTAAGTGCATCCAGCAGATTCGAAACCCAATATTTTCACATTTAAAGCATGTGATTCTCTTCCCCTCTGAAAGGCTCATGGGTACTGTAGTTTGTTAAGCTTCCTGGGAATTGTAGCTGTGGGAACTACAGTTCTCAGGATTTTCTGTGGGAAACCATGTGCCATGCATGGGCATGTGAAGAGATGGGAGTCTATTGTTGCATTATTATAATTGTTTTACTGTGCCCTTCTTGGGGATCATTTTTTTCTCATTACGTATTACCATCAATAATTTATGCAAAATAAAAAATGGAAAAACAATCTGTTAATTGCAACGAAGGGTGCAGCCAGCATATTATTTTTTTAAAAAAATAATTAAAATAGCGCATTCACCCAGTGGTTTACCAGTTGCACTGGCTCCTGGTGGAGTATCGGGTCAGGTTTAAGGTGGTGGTTTTGACCTTTAAAGCCCTTTGTGGCTTAGGGCCCTCGTATCTATGGGACCGCCTCTCCTGGTCTGCCCCACAGAGGACCTTAAGGTCCATGAATAACCGTAGTCTAGAGGTCCCAGGCCCTAAGGAAGTCAGACTATCCTCCACCAGGGCCAGGGCCTTCTCAGTGGTGGCTCCCACCTGGTGGAATGCTCTGTCCCAGGAGACCAGGGCCCTGCAGGATTTAACCTCCTTCCGTCGGGCCTGTAAGACAGAGCTATTCCGCCTGGCCTTTAATTTGAATTCAGCCTGATCTTTTATTCCCCTTCCTTCCCTCCCACTCCCCTTTTTATGAAGATTACCTGCTCTGGGATCCCACAGCTAATTCTCCCCTGGCCTCCTCTCTGGCCCAAGTAGGACTAATTCAGCCAGCTAGCCCTGGGGATCATCCAATGTTTATTGGATGGATTTCCCTGCTAAATTGATTTTTGGTTTTATTGTTATTTACGTTTTATACTGTATTTTATGCTGCTTTTTGTAGCATCAATTAAGTGTTTTAAATTTGTTGTGAGCCGCCCTGAGCCCAGTTTCCTGAACCAGGAAGGGCAGGGTATAAATAAAAAATTATTATTATCATTATTATTATTGTTGTTGTTGTTGTTATGTAGAGCATGATCCTCTGAATCTCAGGGTCGTAGTTCGAAAAAAACCCCCGCATTTCAGGGGGTCAGACTAGATGACCCTTGCGCCCTCTTCCAAACATACAATTCTATGAGTCTAATATTAATTTTTTTATCCCGACCTCCTCCTACAAACAACATGCGCGGACCTCCTTTCCTCAGCGCTTCGCCCCTCACACAACACCCCCGCGAGGTAGGCCTCGCAATGGAGAATCCGTTTCCCGCCGACCGCTTTTTCTCCTTTCGGACTCCAACTCCCATCAGCCCCTGCGGCGACTCCTATGTCAGGGCATGACGGGAGCCGTAGTCCAAAGTGCCTGACGGGTCCCCACACGGGCTCCTCGCTCCCGAGGCGAAAGGTGGCGACTGGCCTCGCTGGAGGTGAGGGGATTTGAACCCGAGGCTCCCACCCGGGCGCCGCGCTCTCCTCAACGAGCCCACTAGGCCGCACGCCCTCCGAAGGGCCCTTCCCGATTGTTCCTAACTCTATGGGACGTGAGGGGAGCGTCACTTCCGGGAAGCCGCCGGAAGTCGCTGGACGCTGGACCCGCGCCGCTCGGAAGCGCCTCCGACTTCCTTCCCGCCCCCCCCCCACCCGGTGCGGACGCGAAGGAGACCCGTCCGCGGCCCGTTGCCATGGTGTTCTACTTCACGTCCAACGGTAGGCGGCGCGGGGGGGGGTTGGGTTGAGGGGGGAGGCGCCGGCCACGCCCACCGCGCCCCTCCCGCTCTCCATAGGGCCTTGTTTTTTGGGGGGGGGTCCTCGCCTCGGTTTATTCGCCCTGTATCTATTTTATTATTATTATTATTATTATTTCATGGGCATCCCCCGCTTTTCCTCAGAGGAGCTGAAGGGGGGGGGCGAGCAAGGAGGGGGGACCCCCCCCAAGAAGCACACCGTTTCATCCTCACAACAACCCCGGGAGGTAGTGAGAGGCTGTTGCTGCTGCTGCTTCATCGCATCTGCACCTCTCCCTTTCCCTCAGGGGAGCCCAAGGGTCACGCACATAGTTCTACACACACACACGCCAATTTCTTTATTTCTTGTTTTTCAAAATGCAAAAAGCAGTATACTGGGGCGGGGGGAGAGAATGATGATGATGATGATGATGATGATGATAATAATAATAATTTATTATTTATCCACCCATCTGGCTGGGTTTCCGCAGCCACTCTGGGCAAGTTCCATTAAAATGGAGAGCCAGTGTGATGCAGTAGTTAAGAGTGATAGACTCGTAATCTGGTGAACCAGGTTCATGTCTCCGCTCCTCCACCTGCAGCTGCTGGGTGACCTTGGGCCAGTCCCGCTTCTCTGAAGTCTCTCAGCCCCTCTCACCTCACAGAGTGTTTGTTGTGGGGGAATAAGGGAAAGGAGAACGTTAGCCACTTTGAGATGCCTTTGGGTAGTGATAAAGCAGGATATGAAATCCAAACGCTCTATAAAATATTAAAATACAGTTGTACCTCAGGTTAAGTACTTAATTCGTTCCGGAGGTCTGTTCTTAACCTGAAACTGTTCTTAACCTGAAGCACCCTTTAGCTAATGGGGCCTGCTGCTGCCGCTGCACCGCTGGAGCACTATTTCTGTTCTCATCCTGAAGCAAAGTTCTTAACCCGAGGTAATATTTCTGGGTTAGCGGAGTCTGTAACCTGAAGCGTGTGTAGCCTGAGGTACCACTATACAATAATTCACCAAACATTAAAAGCTTCCCTAAACAGGGCTGCCTTCAGATGTCTTCTAAAAGTCAGATAGTTGTATATTTCCTTGACATTCCTTGATGGGAGGGCGTTCCACAGGGTGGGCGCCACCACTGAGAAGGCCCTCTGCCTGGTTCCCTGTAACCTCACTTCTTGCAGGGAGGGAACTGCCAGAAGGCCCTCAGAGGTGGACCTCAGTGTCCAGGCTGAATGGTGGAGGTGGAGATGCTGCTTCAGGTATACTGGGCCAAGGCTGTTTAGGGCTTTCAAGGTCAGCACCAACACTTTAAATTGTGCTCGGAAATGTCCTGTAACCCAATGTCTTTCAGGACCAGTGTTATATGGTCTCTGCGGCTGCTCCCAGTCACCAGTCTTAGCTGCTGCATTCTGGATTAATTGTAGTTTCCGGGTCACCTTCAAAGGTTTTTGTTGTTTAGTCGTTTAGTCGTGTCCAGAGCACACCAGGCCCTCCTGTCTTCCATTGCCTCCCGCAGTTTGGTTAAACTCATGCTGGTAGCTTCGAGAACACTGTCCAACCATCTCATCCTCCGTCGTCCCCTTCTCCTTGTGCCCTCCATCTTTCCCAACATCAGGGTCTTTTCCAGGGAGTCTCATGAGGTGGCCAAAGTACTGGAGCCTCTGGCGAGACAGTCTGCAGGCAGGTAGGGTCTCAACCTGCGTACCAGATGGATCTGGTAGACAGCCACCCTGGACACAGAATGGACGTGCTCCTCCATGGACAGCTGTGCGTCCAAATGACTCCCAGGTTGTGAACCTGGTCCTTCAGGGACACAGTTACCCCATTCAGAACCAGGGAGTCCCCCTCACCCACCCGCCCCCTGTTCCCCCAAAACAGTACTTCTGTCATGTCAGGATTCATCCTCAATCCTGAGAACCAGAATATACGTTTAAAGACTCTATGCATCCCATGGAGGGTTCAAATGCAGCTTGTCCATGGCATCATATCTGCCTTGATTCGTTTAAAAAAAAGATTCTGAAGGGAAATGTTTCGTAGATTTCAGGCAACCTTAGCTGTGGAGTTTTTCCTTTGGCTGCTTTCATTGAGAAACATACTTCAGGGCAAAGGAAGCGCTGACAAATATCCTGTCCATGGCTCATTGCCGATTCAAAGTCTTTGGAGCTGATATGGACATTAGAATCCTGATCCACTTCCCTGAATGCTTCAGCTACAGCCCCCTCTGGCAGCTTTGGGGCCACAACATTGAAGACTTTTTTAAAAAAATCTTCCAAAGACAAGAAATCAAAGGTGGCATATCTAGTTATTCCTCACTCTTCCATTTCATCCTCACAACAGTCCTGTGCAGTAGGTTGTTAGATTCTTCTACTCTTTATCTTTGCCAAAGCTGTGAGACTGAAGAGAGGTCGCCTCTTTGCATTTTCACATCTGGGCCACCTGAAAGAACTTCTCGGAGAACTTGTGGTCCTGGAACAGAGCTTCTGAACCTCTGAGCTAGAGCAGGACCTTATCATATTACACAGCGGATTTTGTTGTGGGTGGGATGCAAATAACCTGGGGGGGGGGACACACTGTATGTCTGTGTGGAGTTTGATCCGAAACTCTGGCTCATTTTGTTTCCCTTTTCCATCCCCTCAGTTGTTCCTGGCGCTGCTTACACAATTTACATGGGAAAAGATAAATACGAAAGTAAGTACAACACTTTGGCTATGCCTGTCAAGATGGAATCGATTTTATGTATTTTGTGTTTGAACCCATTTTTATTTTAAAACAGACCTTCTGATAAGTTGTGCATCTTCAGTCAGAACTTATTGGCTCTTGATATAGCAGAAAACAAGCTTTTATTCTGATCAGTGGGGATTCCCCTGCCCAGCATCGTTTTAGAAAACAAAAACCATTTTAGGATTAAATCCCTGACACTTTATGATAGCTTGATACAAAACAGTGTCCAGGAGTAAAATTCATGGGAAACATAAGTACCTCTAGAGATGTTGAAGTGAAAGGCAACTGCATTAACACTAATTTAATATAAAAACATGCAAAAAAAAAAAAGTCTGCAACAACGTCTAGAGGAGCCAGTGGATGGGAATTTGCCTGGTTCCACATTTTCTCTGGCTTGCAGCCACCTATGCATCCCCAAAATCTGCTCTGCAAGCGCTGGAAGGGAGGGAAACCCAAAATCTTGTTGCACAAGCATGCAGACATCGTTGGTGTTTGTCTCGAGAGACAATAGTGTGCCTCCAGAGGTGAAGTCAAACTGCTGCCTTAGCAGCACCGAAGTGACCTCCTTAGGGTGCAAACCTGGGCAGTGTGCATGGAGGTCCTGGACTGCCCAGTTGAGAAGACCACCCCCCCCCCCTTGGCCTCACTGATGTGGTTCAAAGGAAAGCAGAGCAAGACGTTTGAAACCGGCTTCTGGACCCACTATTGGGGATGGAACTAATAGAGTCAATTCTTGAGTGCCTCAGACCGCATTTCAGCAAAAGGCTGATGGCATAAACATGTTTATGTTATTTCTGTGTAAAATATTCCTCATTTGAGCCAAATGCTGATGTAAATTAGCATTTTTTAAAAAGGGCATTTTCTTGCTTTTAGTGAACTTCCTAACATAGGACTGTGAGCAAGTGCTTGATCCGTGATCTCAGCCCCACTGAGATTGGGTAGGGGATTTTATCTTAAAATTGGAATCCAAGGAGGCCGGTCAGGCAATTCTGATGTATAAACTGGCATTTAGCTAAATGGTGTGTATCTGTATCCAATTTTTGTCAAGAAGCAACAGCTTTGAAATACTTTCTCAAAAGCAAGTCATCTCATAGATTCTTTTTTTCTGATTAGTTTGTAGCCTGAAAGTTGCCTGACTTTCAAAAGAAAGGGGAGTTTCTACTTAAATTGTCACAGACTTTCCAATGTTATAATATTGAAATTGCGGAAGCAATTTCTTTTTGGTAGGAGTTCAAGAAATTAATGAGTAGTTCCTTGAAATACTTCAGCTGGTTGATTATTTTTGCACATGCAACTGTTAAAATTACTCTTTGATGGTCACCCATGACTTTTCAGATACCAACATTATTTTTAATCCTAAGGAAAATGTTTTCCCGAGTTGTTCTGTTGTTTGAGCTTGGTCCCTTTAAAATAACATTTGAAATCTCCTCTGAATTTATGTCCTCTCTACCAGTAAATTGTCCCAAATTGTGCTAATCTAATAAGTCTTTCATAAGATTAAGTAGCAATCATCTGTCCCTTTTTGTTAAGGGTCACTTAAATTTATGCACCGAAATATGAGGTCATTTTCACAGACATAAATATATTTAGTAATATTAATTACACAGGGCCTTTCCCTACTTACTTATATTTGCTGTACAGTGGTGGTTGTTTAGAGCACCTTTATTGAAATGAGACAGCTACTTCCAGATTATTTCTGAGCTAACCTCCCAATATCTCTCTTGAAATCTGTTTGTGTTTTTAAACTTAAGAAACATTTAGCAGCACAATCCTGGCATGTCTAACCAGATGAAGCCAAAGTATAAAAGGTTAGACTTTATTGTCTCACGATACTTAATGTGTGCACAAAGCATTTCCCTTGCAGAGACAACCAAGGGAAATGTGTGTGTCTGCATCACCTTTTTGAACTGCTAGTGTTGCATTAATCGTTCAGCAGTGCTACACATCTGCTCAGATCCAGTTAGGAACTTCAGCATTCAAAATTTGCAGCATGGTTCAAACTGAAATAATGGTTCCTGTCTTGAAAGTTTAGTACTGAATTCCATTGTTTCCAGAGAGATCTTCCTGTTTCACAGTTTGGTTTGTGACCCAGTGGACTCAAGTGATAATCCCTGTCCCAAAGGTCCAGTTGTAACCTGACTCTCAGGGAGGACTGAGTGGGAATTATTTCTGCTCACTGCTTGGCTTGGCTTTTTTCTTGCAGATGAAGACCTAATAAAACATGGCTGGCCGGAAGATGTTTGGTAAGTACTGATCTGAGCCTCTCTTTATGCCCTGGGGTGCAAGGTTTCAATAAGGTAGCAAGGACTTCTGAGTAAGATTAGCAGACATGAAATAAGAGAAGATGTGGATAAAGAACTGGTTAAGTAGGAAGAAGCAGAGAGTGGGAATAAATGGACAGTTTTCCAAGTGGAGGGATGTAGAAAGTGCCGTCTCCCAAGGATCTGTATTGGGACCTTGGCTTTTTAACTTGTTCTTAAATGGTCCAGACTTAGGGGTGAGCAGTGGGGTGGCTGAGTTTGCTGAAATTCTTCAGGGTGGCGAAAACAAAAACAGATTAAGAAGAGCTCCAAAAGGACCCCTCCAAACTGAGCGAATGTGTGCTAATGGCAAATGTAGTTTGGCAGTGACAGTTATCATAGCGTCTGAAAAGGTTCAGAAAAGCGCAACCTCCCCCGTGAGGAAAGGTTATAGTGTTTGGGACTTCTTAGTTTAGAGAAAAGGCAAGCAAGAGGTGACATAAAATTTAAAATTTTTTTGCATAGTGTGCAAACCGAATGGAGAATTTTTTTTCTCATAACGTTAGAGCTGGTTGACATCAAATGAAAATGAATGTTCCAGAAAAGATAAAGTCCTTCTTTGTGCAGCACAGAGATGGACCATGGACCTTGCTCCTGCATGAGGCAGTGATGGCCGCCAACTTGGGTGGCTTAAAAAGGATTAGACACATTCATGGAGCATAAGGCCATGGGTCGGCAAACTAAAGCCTGCGGGCTGGATCAGGCCCAATTGCCTTCTGGATCCAGCCCGTGGATGGTCCGGGAATCGTCGCGTGGATTGCCAGCGCACACGTTCTTTCCCTCTTCCTCCCTCTCTCTCACACGGCGCCGGTGCCTCCTCCCTCCCTCCTTCTGGCTTCTCCCTGCCCTGCCTAGAGGAGGAAGGGGGCTGAGCTTTGTTGGTGTCAGCAGCAGCAGCAGCAGCAGCAGCGCTCGAGTGGCTGCCACTTTAAGCAGCCCCTCTCCGGAGTCCATTTGTGCGCCGCTCATCGTCCCTCCGCCGCCAGCCCCTGCCGCTTGCCACCGGGGCTCGTGGTGCTCTTGCATCTTTTCCCCCCTTCAAAATATAGTCCGGCCCCCCACGAGGTCTGAGGGACAGTGGACTGGCCCCCTGCTGAAAAAGTTTGCTGACCCCTGCATAAGGCTATCAGTGACTATTAGCCAGGAGGGCTCTGCTCTCCCCCCACAGTCAGGGACAGCAATGCTTCAGAAACCAGTTGCTGGAATCCACAGGAGGGGAGAGTGATGGTGCTCTTGTGTTCGAATCCTGGTTGCAGTTTTACCATGGGGCATCTGTGAGAACAGGAGGCTGGACTAGATAGGCCTTTGGCCTGATCCAGCAGATGCTCTTCTTTTGTACTCGTTGTGGTAATTTGTGAAATGAACCGCGCTCCTTAGTAAAGCTGACAGCAAAATCACATTTTAGAGCCCTTTCTGCGCTGCCTTGTATAAGACTGGAGGTGGGATCCTAGTTTTAAATTTCACTCTAAATGCAAAGAAAAGCCCCCTGTGCTTATCATGCCCCCTCCCCCAGTGTATCAGGGGCCAGAACCTTGATTTGATAGTTTCCCACAAAACAGGTGTGAGTTCTTAGTGTGTGTGTGTGTGTGTGTGTGTGTATATGCAGCAGCATTCAATGATTCAAGATTGTCTTGTTCTGTCCCCCCCACCTTCCCAAAAAGGTTCCAGTGATAATTTCCCAACATCCAGTTGCGATGTTTGTTGTCCTGCCAAGTGTTTTGTACTACTGGAGTATCCTTCCTTATATTTCCCCTCTCATCTGAGTCCAGCTGGCTCCGGGCCTTTCCATGTCTACTTTGCTATCTTTTTGGCAATTTCATTTCTGTAATCCCTTGTTAGCTTTGTAATTTTTATCTACTGTCTCTTATTACATTTGCGAATGCTGGTGTTTTATTCAGTTAGACTTTAACTAATCTATAACTCCACGGTCCCCTGGGATCTGTTTTGACAAAGGCAGTACAGAAATGTTGTAAATTTATGATCTCGTGAGAAGCCACAAAGAAGTGTTGTAAAGGACTGGATGTTGAATGATCAGGTTCCTGGCAGACAAAAGCACTTCTGCCTTGGCACAGAAAGTGGTGCCTAGGTTACACCCAAAGGCAGAGAGGATCCAAAGGAGTTAACATGATAATCTTTTTGCACTTCAGTAGATCCACCAACAGATTTCACACAAGCCATTTTGTATATTAAGCAAGCAAATGCAGCATAAACTACCCCATGAAGCATTTAATTCATTCTCTCCCCCCCCCATTAACGCCCAAAAGGTTGCTGTGCTTTTTATTTTGGTTTATTTAAAATATGAAGAATGAAATGAGAAGTTAAAGCAATGGCTACAGTGAATACAGTGGTACCTCGCAAGACGAATGCCTCGCAAGACAAAAAACTCGCTAGACGAAAGGGTTTTTTGTTTCTTGAGCTGCTTCGCAAGACGATTTTCCCTATGGGCTTGCTTCGCAAGACGGAAACGTCTTGCAAGTTTATTTCCTTTTTTTAACACCGTGAATACAGTTGCGACTTGACTTCGAGGAGCAACTCATAGAACAGCGGTGTGGTAGCCTTTTTTTGAGGTTTTTAAAGACTTTGGTGATTTTTGAAGCTTTTCCAAAACTTTCCCGACACCGTGCTTCGCAAGACGAAAAGAATCGCAAGACGACAAAACTCGCGGAACGAATTAATTTCGTCTTGCGAGGCACCACTGTAATGTAAGCAATGACAGTAGTTGAACAGACAGCAGGTGAGGGCAGAGTATGAAACAGAAATTAGGAGCTGCTGCCTGTTCCCTCGTGACCTTCCTCTTGTAGATGCTGCTTCTTTGAGCCACAGTGGGGAGGGGCTTGTGGACCAGTCAGATGGGTGGACTAGTCAGCTTCATCCTTCAGTAATAATAATACCGTATTTTTCGCTCCATAAGACACACTTTTCCCCTCCGAAGAAGTAAGGGGAAATGTGTGTACGTCTTATGGAGCGAATGCAGGCGGGAGGCAGGTGGGAAAAGCCCCCAAAAGCCGCACACACGCTCCGCGCGGCTCTTGCGGGCTTTTCCCCGAGGAGGGAGAAGGGCAGCCCATCACTGATGGGCTGTCTTTCCCCCATCTCGTAGAAAAGCCCGCAGGAACTGTGCACCCTTTAAAGAGAGCACGTGGCTCTTGCTGGCTTTTGCGGGAGGTGGGGGACCTCGTAGAAAAGCCCCCAAGAGCCGCACACACACACACACACACTCCGCACACTCTTTAAAGGGAGCGCGGCTCTTGGGGGAGCCTTAGCCACACGCAGCCTCTCCCGGGCAGGGGATGAAGGCTCCCCTTGCCCGGGAGAGACTGCGCGCGGCTTTCCCATAAGCCAGGACAGCCAGTGGGATTGCTGCTCTGCGATCTCGCTGGCTTTCCTGGCTTCTGGGAGTCAGAATATTTTTTTTCTTGTTTTCCTCTTCCAAAAACTAGGTGCGTCTTATGGTCTGGTGCATCTTATAGAGTGGAAAATACTGTGATTAAAAAAACCTTTTATTTGTATCCCGCCCTCCCCGGCCGAGACTGGGCTCAGGGCGGCTAACATCAAATATATAACATTGGTATAAAATCAAACAATAATTAAATTACCTCCTAAAAACAAGTCAGGATCAAATTAAAATCTAATTAGATGGCTTTCTGCAGGATTAGGGTTGGAAACAGTAAATGTTCATCAGGCCCAACTTTTTACTCTGTTCTTATATGGGCCTGTGAGAATACTGGTTCATACTAGTTCTTATACAAAAAGAGAAGGGGAGTCAGGCTGAGCCCTGGCCAAAGACCTGGCGGAACAACTCCGTCATGCAGGCCCTGCAGAAAGATGTCAAATCCCGCAGGGCCCTGATCTCTTGTGACAGGACGTGACTGTTTGAAGGTGTCTGATGTGTCTGGAACGTTTTCAGGGCCCAAGCAATCAATTCTTCCCTTCCATGTCTCATTGAGCAATAAGGCAGACTACCCAGGTTTGTTGATAATTCTTAGCCATTGGAAGATAGCGTAAATGCAAGCTTCAGACTGGGATGAGTCATAGACTGGCTCTATTCCTTGGAGGGGGAAATGGCTATAGAGGTTTTTGTAAACCTCTCCACCTCCATCGTTCTGCCCGGACACTGAGGTCCAGTGCCAAGGGCCTTCTGGCGGTTCCCTTGCTGTGAGAAGCCAAGTTACAGGGAACCAGGCAGAGGGCCTTCTCAGTGGTGGCGTCCGCCCTGTGGAACGCCCTCCCACCAGATGTCAAAGAGAAAAATAACTACCAAACTTTTAGAAGACATCTGAAGGCAGCCCTTTTTAGGGAAGCTTTTAATGTTTAATAGGTTATTCTTTTTTGGTGTTTTGTTGGAAGCCGCCCAGAGTGGCCGGGGAAACACAGCCAGATGGGCGGGGTATAAATTATTATTATTATTATTATTATTATTTGTAAAGCAGGGCAACACTGCACCCTTCAGACAATGCTGGAGAAGGTCCCTGTTTCAGTCCCTAGCGGCATCACCAAGGTAGGGCTGGGAAGGTCCCCTTCCTGAAAACCCGGAGAGGTGCTTCCAGTCAATGCAGACAGTACTGAGCTGGGGAGACCAATGGCCTGCCTCTCTATAAGGCAGCTTCCCATGTATCTGTCGGCCATCCTGGCCAGAGCTGGTAGGACTCGGGAGTCGGGCAACATCTTCAGGTTCCTCACCCGCTTCTAAAGCTCCACATAAGAACCTAAGCAGGGCTTGCTGGATCAGGCCAGTAGCCCGTCCTGTCAAGCGCCCTGTTCTCACAGTGGCCGTTCAGATGCCCCAATGAGAAACCCCCAAGCAGGATTCGAGCACAAGAGCAACTCTCCCCTCCTGTGGTATTCAGAAGCGTTGCAGATCTGACTGCAGAGGCCGAGCCGAGCCATCGAGAGCCCTCTCTTCCTCCGTGATGTGTGAGCAAGTTCCATGGTTTTGCTGTGCGCAGTGTGAAGAAGGCCTAGTCTCATTCCTCTCGCATTGCTGGCCTTGGGATCGCTAGAGGGAGCACTTGGCTCAGAGGGAATTGGCGCTGTTTTAGCAGCTGTTTCCTCCAGCCTTTCAATTTCCTCTTCAGGCCATTGCATACTTCTGCAGAGATGTGAGCGTGATAAGCCATAAAAATTCCTTCCCCCGCTATCAAGTATGCATGCTTTAAGATGCTGATGGCCAGGTGGCGGCCAGCCTCTTGCAGCGGTACGTAGGGCAACATTTCTTTTGGATTGAATCATCTGTGCTGTATTGTGTGCAGGTTCCATGTGGACAAGCTCTCCTCTGCCCATGTCTACCTCCGGCTGCACAAGGTAAACAGCCTTGCTCTGCTTCTTGCCCTCTGTGGTGGTTCTTACTCAGCCAAGTGGTGGGGAGGGAGGGCCACTTGTCCACTTTGGGGGCTGCAGCTATCACCCCCTCCTCTCACGGCCTGTTAGCCTCCCCCAAGGTAATGCACCAGCTGCTGAAAACTATCATGTTTAAAAGAGGTCCTCTGATATATGCTTGCAACACTCTGCAGGTTTTGTCAGAGTTGATCAAGGCCATTTATTATAAAGCCTATAAAATATTCTGCATAAAAGGAAGAGCCCCTGTGACTGGCTTTCTGGAGCTTTCCTCCAGGCCTTTGGTCAGGGCACAGCCTGACTCCCTCCTTTGGCAATCTTCACAGAACTTTGGCCTAATGGTTGCCATCATTTTGAGTTGCAAAGTGCTGCAAAACTATTTGGGTTGTATCCAATTAAGTTCTACTGAGAGCAGACCCGTTGGAATCTCTGGATTTTGATGGGTCTACTCTGACTAATTTGGTGGTTATCTTTGCGGTAAGAGACTAATGCAATGGCCCTGCGCTTCCAGTTTGGTCGCAGGCACCCTTCGCTCTGCCTGCAGAATCCACTTCCTTCCCAGCATGCCTTTTGCCAGTTCCTCCGCACGAGCTGCTCACTTCCTACCTTGCTTCCTTTCAGGGGCAGACGATGGAGGACATCCCAAAGGAGGTTTTGATAGATTGCGCCCACCTGGTGAAAGCCAACAGCATTCAAGGTAAGGCGTTGATGTTCTGCAGCATGTTCTGGCCTGGAGAAACCAGCAAGGATTCGGAGAGGAATGATGGGTGGAGAATAAGGCCTTTGGGGGCCAGTTGACGCTGCTCTGATGGTGTGGCTTCTCCCATCCGTCACCTCGCAAGGGGCAGGCATCGCAGGAGCTGCTTAAGACGTCCTCCCTTCCCTCCTTTGCCAGCCCAGTCAAAAACCATCTCTCTGATGCAACATTTCTGTAGAGGTGCCCAGTGTCTTGGGGAACAGCTGCTGACATTGCATTGTTGCCAACCTAAAGGACTCTTATTCTTTATTCGTTTATATTTATTACATTTCTGTCCCACCATTTTCCTCCTAGGAGCTCAGGGTGGTGCGCATGGCTCTCCCACTTTCCTCAATTTAATCCCCACAACAACCTTGTAAAGTAGGTTAGGCTGATGAGAGGCACGGACTGGCCCCCAAGGTCACCCAGCGAGCCTCATGGCCACGTGGGGATTCGAACCCTGATCTCTCCCAGGACCTAGTCCAACGCTAACCACCATACACCATGCTGGCTTACCGAATCTTGCGAAGAGTTCTTAGGAAATGGGGTTGAAAGGGGGTGTGGGGGAGAGAAGAATCAGCTTGGTGAACAAAACGGCCCCCTTTGTTCTTCTAGGCTGCAAAACGAATAATGTCAGCATTGTGTACACTTCCTGGGCCAACTTAAAGAAGACGGCAGAAATGGACGTGGGGCAGATCGGGTTTCACAACCAGAAGGACGTAAGTGTCTTGCCCCCGCTCCCATCTTCTCAGATACCCACCTCCTGGATCCAGAGCACTGGCCCACCAGGGAAACAGCGGGAGGTTTGCCGCATGGGTAAAGTGAGGAAGGAGTGGGTGGGAGTTCCTGCTGTCGTTCTTCAGGCATCGCAGCACCCTTTGGCTCCTCTCCCACCGAGGTTACAGTCTGTGCGGTGCATGGATTGCTGGTGGGTGGTTTGCAGGGGGGAACTGCGTTTGCTCTGCCAAGCTGTGTGTTATGCAGCAACCATTTATTATTTCATGTGAGAAGCCACAAAGATTAAGTAAGGTTTGAAGCGGACAGAGGCTGTATGCCACTCTCCTCTCTCTCTCTCTCTCTCTCTCTCTCTCTCTCTCTCTGTGTGTGTGTGTGTGTGTTGTGTGCGCCTGCCTCTATCCACAGTTAATTTTTTTCCCAAGTTAACAATGAAGATTGTAATTTATTGCAAACACAACTGAACTTTATTAAGAATTTCAACATAACAAATTACCAAAAACATAACCCCAGAGTCGGTCACGACTAGACCTAATGGTCAGGGATCCCTTTACCTTTACAGAGATGCACATAGGTGAGGTCAAGATCCATGTTTGCTGGGCAGGCTGGTGAAGCCCCACCTGCATCACCTTTAGTTGGGAGGGGCTGAGTCCCCACTGCTTACCACCACCTGTTCATTTTCAGAGGGGGGTGTGCAGGGCTCTTGGAGATGACGACAGGGATTGAGCTGGGTGCTTTGCATGCTTTTTGTCATCACCCTGGAATGTGCTTGTGTGTTGGGCCTGAAGATGCCTCAAGACCCTTTTGGTTCAACCCCCTCCCAAAAAAAGAGGTTGGGAAAATATGAAGAGCCTGGTGGCCCACCTAGCCCAGCATCCTGTTCTCAGACGCCCCCATTGGGAAGTCTGCAAGCAGGATTCAAGCACAAGAGCAACTCTTCCCTGCTGAGATTTCCAGCAGCCTCGAACTGTGAAGCCAAAGCATGGCCATCATGGCTAGCAACCGTTGATAGCCCTCTCCTCCATGAATTTGTCTACTCCTCCTTCAAAGCCCGTTGGGAGGAGACTCTGTCCAGAGTTCCCAGGCTGGGTCAAATGGGCCTTGACTTGTTTACAAGGCACCTTGCAAAGTTCATGCTTCTCCCATGTTCAGCATTTTCCTTGCAAACCCGGAACCTAAAAGCACATCACTTCCCTCCCCACTTTTTGTGTGTGAAAAGTTCAGCCTGGAATTCAAAGGAAAGCCATCAGCCAGAGGCGAACCTGTAAAACACAGTCAGTGGCCTATAATGGGGAATGAGAAACCCCGTTTTGTTCTCCTTCAAGGTCCTGAGCTACTCCAGCCAGCTGAGCATTTCAGGGGTGCATTTTTTGACTTCAACACTTACATGGGCCTGTGACTTGTTGATGCGTTTCATCCCTCTCCTCTCCAGTGTGTGAGGCTTCCCCACAGGGTCGCTTGGGCTTGAAGCCCTGGCGATGTGGCCAGGATTGAGGGATAGCAAGGGGAGGTGGGAGTGGTGATGGCCTCCAAGAGGGGATGGATGCGGTGAGCCAGCCAGCCTGGCCTCCTGGGGGTGTGCTTTGGCCATTGCGCAGACTTCCTGTGTTACTCTGGGCGAGTGATGTAATCTCTTGAGCCTGGAAAAAAGAAACCTTTCCAATGACATCAGAAGGATCGAATCAGATACTGGAGGCCCTGTGGCATGGGATTAATTTTTTTAAAAAATGTATTTTTAACCAAATGAAGGCAGGAAGTTGCTGACTTAATGTTTTGAACTAGCGACATGATGGAAGGGCAGAGTAGTGTCTGACAGCTGTTCAAAACAACCTCAGTTCTGAATAATTTGAAGTGGAAGGGTGACAATGGCAACCTTCCACTTGGTCCTGGCAGGAGCCACAGCAATATCTGGCCTCATTCCCTCCTTACAGATGCTCAGGAGAGCAGGGCCCTGGGCTTTTCCTCCTGTGTTGACTTCGTGGGGTGGGAAAGATGAGGTTTATCAGGGATGCTGTGCCTTCCAGTTTGACTGTAACTCAGTTGCCGTTCGTGCTGTCCACGGTGCCCCCAACTGTGATGGTTTCTTCCTTGCCTGCCTTCCTTGTGCCAGCCTTTCCCAGAAACATGGAATTGTAAGAGTTGGAAGGGACCCAAAGGGTCATCAGGTCCAACCCACTGCAGTGCAGGAATCGCAGCTTTGGCCTCCAGCGATTTTGAGAAGGTGGGTGCAGGTCTTGCGAATGCTGATCACCGTTCTTTTCTCTCCCCAGGTGAAGATTGTCACGGTGGAGAAGAGGGTGAACGAGATCCTGAACCGGCTGGAGAAGACCAAAGTGGAGCGGTTCCCGGACCTGGCTGCCGAGAAGGAATCCCGCGACCGGGAGGAGAGAAACGAGAAGAAAGCCCAGATCCAGGAGATGAAGCGGAAAGAGAAGGAGGAGGTGAAGAAGAAGAAAGAGATGGAAGAGCTCAGGTGAGCCAGGCAATGACCCCCTTTTGGGAAGTCGAGTTGGGCCCGTCCCAGTTGAATGGGGGTGGGGTGGGAGGGTGTAGGAAAAAAGCAGAAAACCAAGGCAGCTGGCCTGCTTTCCTGAGCAACACAGCCCAGGGCTAGGCACAGATTTGTCTTCCCTTTCTAGATGAATTCACACATAACTTTTAAATAACCGTGATATTATGCCATGATTTAGGACCTGACTCTACGGGCCAGCAATGTGTTGCACCGAGAGGCTCTCCGAGCAGCGAGAGCGATGCCTCTTGGCCTTGCTGCAGACGTAGGCAAGCAGCTTCCTGGCAGGGGTTTCCGGGGGGGGCACAACCCCACCCCCACCCCTGTGACAGTGGTTGGTTCCTTGGCCAGTGTGCTTCTTGCCACCCCTTCCTTGTGGGTGCTGGCCAGTGGCATAAGCATGCGAGTGCCCCACTAGGGTGCGTTCAAGCAGGCCGGTTTTCGGCCATGAACCCTGCCTCCTTGCTAGGCTTTGGTTGCAGTTCACTGCCTCCTGGGCTCCTCTTCCGTGGATTTGTCGGGAAACTGGTGTTTTGGCTGCCTGGGTTTGACTTTGGCCAAGGTTCAGAGATGACCAAGGGTGTGTGGTTCTCTATGTGCAAAGCTCTGATTCCGGCTTCGGCTGGGGAGGGTGGGATATAAATAAAAAATTATTATTATTATTATTATTACTATTATTATTATTATGAAAAAGTTGGTTGCAGTAGCCCTTTGAGCCTCATGGGGTGCTGATCTGGGGGGCCCTGGACCTTTGCAGATGGGGGGCTGACCGTCAGTTGTGGGAAATGAAACTCTTTTGGAGTCCAGCTTTTCCGATCTTGCAAGCTCTTGAAGGAACTATTAGAGCAACAGTGGGGATGCTGCAGTCTGTGGGCCAAGTTAGGCCCAGGAGGGATAATAATTTGGCCCTGTTTCCCCCCAAACCGTGCCCACAACATAGGTGCTGTCACATGTGGGGCAAGAAAAAACGTGTCTGCAAAGGAGAAATCGGGAGCCTTGAAAACGTGGTTGTTCCTCGGCAAGTCATCCTTGCTGTAAGCGCCAGTCCATTGACTGATGTTTAAAGTGAGCCCCTCGGGCGTCACCTGCTTTCGTATGGGATCCTTGTTTGTGGGCTGCGTAGCTTGAGAGGAAGAAGGGATAGATTTGTGAGTGCCCCTCTGCTTCTTTCCTTTTGAAATTGGGTTACCTGATTTCAGGTGATAGGCAGGTGGCTCATAAGAACATCAGGAGAGCCAGCGGCTCATCTGGCCCAGCATCCTGTTCTCCCAGCGGCTGACCAGATTCCCCCAAGCAGGACCCAAGCGCAAGAGCCTTTCCAGCTCCTGTGGCTGCCGGCAACTGGCACTCAGGAACATCGCTGCCTCCAAGCACTTTGGAAGCGGAGCAGAGCCATCCTGGCTAGTCACAGTGCTGCCAGCCAGATTCTGTTCCCCACCCCTGCATTAGAGGGCCGTACATTTTTGCCAGCCAGGTTATCTCTGGCTGAGCAATGTCTGAATGCACTGTTGCCTTTCCTTTTGCAGGAGTTACTCTTCCTTAATGAAAGCGGAGAACATGTCCTCCAACCAGGTATGTCCAGGGTGCTTCTCGCGAGGAGCCTGTTGCCCTAGTGAGCAGCAGGAGGCAGAAGAGGCTTCCCAGCCAGAAAGTGAACTCCAAACTCATTTGCCTGTAAGGGTTAGAGTTATGTGACTAGAATGAGGAGGCAGTAAAGACTTAATTCTGCGAAGCTGCCTGTCCCCAGCTGCTTCACATTGTTTACCTGTGGAACTCCCTCCCACAGGAGGCAGTGATGGCCACCAATTTGGATGACTCCGAAAGCGGATTAGACAAGTTCATGCAGGAGGGGGGAAGGCTTTCGATGGCATTCGTCTTTCAGTGATGATCAGGTAGATGTGGACCCAGTGAGGGAGAATTAGTTCTGGGATCCAGCCTGAGAGTTGCCCAATCCCTGCAAAGCTCGCCCGCCCACCCTTAAAAGATCCTCTAGAAAGCCCTTTTTCTGTCCTCCCCTCCCGCAGGACGGCAACGACTCAGATGACTTCATGTAAACCAAGGCACCCTCCTCTTGGACGATGAAGATGGACCTGAGCTCTTCGCTGTCGGTGCCAAAAATAAGCAAGCGAACTGTCTCTGTGCCCGTTTCATCATTCTGGCCGGCGTCCGGGAGGAGGTGGGCGGCTCCCCTTCCTGGACAGACGCCCTGTGGCTGCCACCTTCCAGTTCCAGAGCCGCGAGGAGGCGTGCACCTTTCCAGGGGAACTTGGGGAGGTGCTGGCGGCTGTGGCTTTTCCTGCCCGAAGCCTCCTGGGGAGCAGACCGTGACCTTAGAATCGGAGTCTGTGACCTGAGTCTTCATTTCACAGTGTTTGGGTTTAGGGTATTTTTTCCTTAAGTGATGGGTTTGTGGTCCCCCTCCTCCCTTTGGTCGAGTGCACCTGTGTCAAGAGTCTGGTTCTCTCTTTAAACTCTGTAGGAATCTGCTCAGCACAGCTGCATCGCCCGTGCTGTAAAATGCTTGCCTGGATCTCGAGAGCATCACTCATTTGAGCAGTCATCTAACCAGGGGGATGGGATGGGACTTTCATTCTGGGGCCCCACAAAGCTCACTGCCCCTGTTCAAGTAAAACTGGACTTCCGTGTGATCTCTGTGCAGCCCTCTGTGGTGCCCTGAGCGAGGCCGGCTGTGGGATCATCCCAGGGCTCTGGCAGCAGAATTGGACCTCTCCACCCTCAGCTACCAGCACTTGCCTTGTGAGGGACTCCTTGCTTGCTTGCTTCTCTTCTGCCTATTGCCCTAGTAGCAGCAGCTCAGGAAAAGCTCTCCTTTGACTGACCCCTCCATAGCAAACTTCAACCGCTCCTTTTTCACTCTTTTTTAAAGGCTGACAATGTGATTCTCTCTCAGTATGCTTTCTTTCTGCAGTTAGGGAATCTGTTTGTCTCCCTGTGTCTCTCCCCCCCTCCCCCGTGTTTTGGCTTTTTCTCTCCTTCACATCTCATCACCAGCATCTCGTTCACAAAGCTTGGGGGTTGCAGGGGGTGTCCTTCCGACTAGCAGTGCTCACAGCTGTTTGGTTCGCCTCAGTGGGGAAGGTTGCAAGATGCATTCCTTGAAATTTCTCAAGCAGGGGCGTCACAGTTCCTCTCTGAAGTTTTCCAAAGCAGAGAAGCAGACTGGGGAGCCTCAGATTGTGGGGGCTTAGTTCCCAGTTCCTCCAACAGCGTCAGGACTGCCCTCGTTCCCTCCAGAGGCTCGAAGTTCCTACCACAAGACCTGACTCCAAGCTCCCAGAAAACGCCTTTCACGTTGCCATGGGGTCAGGACCAACCACGTGCTCCTGCTGCCCCATCAGGGACCTTAAATGAAGAAGCGCCAACCTCAGTCTAGGCCAGCCTTCCCCAACATGATGCCCTCTTGATGTTTCGGATTATGGCTGTAGTCACGCAGCCACACTAGCTGGAAGTTAAAAGTTCCTAAAGTTTGGGGTGGGGGGCGTCAGGTTGGGGAGAGTCTGGCCTAGGGCTTCCCCTAATACCTCCATCGTGTCTACAGATCAGTGCTCTGCCTGACCTCAAGAACGACTCTAGAGGATGTTAAGTGTGTCTGTCTGAACCTTCACATGTGTGCAGTCTGCATGGGCGGCTCAGCATTCCCTTCTGTGAGAAATAGGATCTTTGGCGCAGAGTTAACGCACATTGCCTGAATGTGTGCCTGTTGCTGCAACCCTGATGCCTAATAAAAAGAAACTTGCGCACCAAGAGCTAATGGACGAGTGATTGGTTTATTGCAAGGAAAAGGCAGTGTGCATGCTAAAATCCGTTGTGTAATTTATAGTGCAACTATAGGTGCAGGCGGCAGTTTTAATACTGATGCATTCGTATTCCTAGCTTAAAGGTAACAGATCCCTGAGTTCCAAGAAACAGAAAGTGAGCATAACATTCATAAGAACAGCCTGCTGGGTCAGGCCTAAGGGAGCCCAGCATCCTGTTCTCACAGTGGCCAACCAGATGCCTGTGGGAAACCCAAAAGCAGGATCTGACCCCGAAAACCCCCTCCTGTCCTGTGTCTTCTAGCAACTGGTACCCAGAAGCCCCACACCCTCTGCCCGTGCTGGCAGAGCACGTCTGTTGTGGCTAAGAGCCATCGATAGCCCTCTTCTCCCTTAATTTGTCCAATCTCTTCGGTGGGGTAAAGTTTTCCATTACAGTGGTACCTCGGGTTAAGAACTTAATTCATTCTGGAGGTCCGTTCTTAACCTGAAACTGTTCTTAACCCGAAGCACCACTTTAGCTAATGGGGCCTCCCGCTGCCGCCGTGCAATTTCTGTTCTCATCCTGAAGCAAAGTTCTTAACCCGAGGTACTATTTCTGGGTTAGCGGAAACGTCTGTAACGTGAAGCGTCTGTAACCCGAGGTACCACTGTAATTCATGTTATTATGTATATGAAACAGGGAGAACAATTACAGCAACAGACGAACGTTAAAGGATGAACAAACAAAACAATAAAATAACCCGGTTGCACATGGGTTAAAGTCACAAAGCCCAAGTAAAAACTTTTGACTTTTATCAGATCACAAGAGTATTGTTCCGGATTTACCAGGCTGTTGTGCAATGGTTGTCTAGAAAATGATGGTTTCGCTTTATATGTCATATAAAGGAATTCCAGATCACATAAATTCGAGTGTGGACATTCTCAAATTATGCATGGCTTTCTTCATTATAGCTCTTCCAGAGTGAGCGGTACCATGTGTCTGGTGTAAGATTTTGGGCTGTTTTCCATTGAGTTACAATTTCTGTTTGTGCTGCCCAGATCACATATAAGACCAGTTGTTTTCACAAGATATTTACTCTAATCTTTTTTTTTTTAAGCCAGCCAGGTTGGTGGCCGTCCCTGCTTCCCGTGGGAGCAAGTGATGGCTTAACTGTGCTGCATGAAAAAACATTTTATCCGTCTTTTATCTATTTGTTGCAGACCTGAAATTATAAGAGGAAGAGAGATGGGTTTGTGCCTTATCCAGGAGAGAGTGAGGACTCACGAGTAAAGATTAAGATTTCTGTGCTTGTTGAGAGTTAGGCTTTTCCCTCTCTCTCTGAAACCTGCAAGCTGTCAGGCTATGGAGAGCTCACCCTTTTGCCTGGTCCAATGGGGCTTTGCCATTGTCCCAGTGAGTGATGCAGGGTATGGAGAAAAGTCTCAGAGCCCGAGAGCTGCTCCTTTGACCTACAACAAACTTATACCTTAAATATATTTTTGGGATCTCATCTATTCCTATGGAGAAGAAGGGAATACTTGTGCGCAAAGGAAACATGAAAATATTCCTTTGACGTGTATGTTTTAATGTCTGTTCTTTCAGATTACCATTGTGGCCTATGTGAGATGAATTTGGGGTGAAGAGGGCAGAAATTGGCATTTTTGGGAAAACATGTCCCATGTTGTATTATTTTATTGTTGTTAGCCGCCCTGAGCCCGGCTTCGGCCGGGGAGGGCGGGATATAGATAAAAATTTTATTATTATTATTATTATTATTATTATTATTATTATATCTTCCTAATCTTAAGGTGTCATAAATTAAGACATCGGTGTTTACACTTAAAGAGGAGAAGCATGTCTTTCCTGGTAGCCAGTTAGTTTATCTGTTTGATCCTCTTCGCAACTCTGGAGTCAGGAAGTCTGATGGTTGCTTAGAATCATAGGATTGGTTATCTAGTCCCAACTCCCCGCAGTGCAGGAATTGCAGTTGAGTTATCCCCGGCAGGTGTTCATCCAATGCCTAAAAACCTCCAATGAAGGAGGATCCACTAGCTTCCGAGGTAGCCCATTGCAGTGTCAGAATGGCTCTTGCCATCAGAAAGTTCTTCCTCATGCCTCTCCTTCCTTCAGCCAGCGTGGTGTAGTGGTTAAGAGCGGTGGACTCGTAATCTGGTGAACCGGGTTTGCTACCAAAAAGGCCCTCTGCCTGGTTCAAGGGTCTGGAAACCAAGCCTTATGAGGAACGGTTGGAGGAGCTGGGTATGTTTAGCCTGGAAAAGAGGAGTTATGATAGTGGTCTAATAGCTCAAGAGCCAGTGTGGTGTAGTGGTTAAGAGCGGTGGCCTTGTAATCTGGTGAACCAGGTTCGCTTCCCCGCTCCTCCACATGCAGCTGCTGGGTGACCTTGGGCCAGTCACACTTCTCTGAAGTCTCTCAGTCCCACTCACCTCACAGAGTGTTTGTTGTGGGGGAGGAAGGGAAAGGAGATTGTTAGCCGCTTTGAGATGCCTTAGGGTAGTAATAAAGCGGGATATCAAATCCAAATTCCTCCTCCTCCTCTTCTTCTTCTTCTTGGCATTGGAATTTGTTGCTTCGAGTCCCACCCTCAGAAGCAGCAGAGAACAAGCTTGCTCCATCTTCCATGGGACAGCCCTTTCGAATATTTGCAGGCGGTCTTCACACCACCTCTCAGCCTCCGTTTCCCCAGGCGGAACACCCCCAACTTCCCCTGGCCGCCCTCCTCTGCACTCCTTCCAGCTTGTCAATATCCTCCTAAAATTGGGGTGCCCAGAACTTTGACGCAGTATTCCAGGTAGGGTCTGAACAAGAGGCCTTTCTTCTCTCCCACAGCCAATAAACGGCTGGATAAAAGTGTCTCCTCAAGGTGGCAGTGGTGGCGAATGTGGCAGTGGGCATTAGCTCACATTTGGAGCCTTGTGCTCCTCTCAATTCTACACCTAGAGATGGGTGGTGGCCTGAGACAGTGCTCACTTCCTTATTACTATCATTTGCATTTTTTATTATTATTATTTTCTTTTGTAAGCAAAATTTACTGGCGTGCAAATAGTCAACTGGAATATTTATTTGAATCATGCATTTCAAATATGCACACGGTTCCTGTGTTTTCTTTACAAACTTTTACAGTATTCAAGGAAGTTAATGGTCTCTTACTCAAAACCAAGCAAACACCACAGGTGCCAATTATTGAGATCTTATAAGGCTGCACCACTGAATCAAATTGAGAAAGGGATAATTTTGAGGAAGCTATTTCTTATTATCAACACATTAGCCTTATTCAATGATGTTCCCACCATGCAATTAGCAATCATGCAAGAGGAATAAATATAAATGCATATCATTTGCATTTATATCCCAACTTATTTTCCAAGGAACTCCAAGTCATGGTCAGGGGTCGGCAACCTAAGGCCCATGGGCCACAAGCAGCACATTGGGGTTGTTTAGCCGGCCCATGGACCCCCGCCGCTCGCTTGGGGACCCCTGCACCAACTTGGTTGGCTCCCGTGCGCCACACTAAACTGGCACAGAGCAGAGTGGGGACCGCCTTCCGTGACACTGGCCGGCTTCCCATTGGCTGCAGAAAGCTCCTGCAGCCAATGGGAAGCTGCGCACACCGGGAAGAGCGCCAAAAATAGCGTTTGCGCATGTGTGCGTGCATGCGCACACTCTGGCCCACCATGGCATCTGTGCGACTGTGAACCGGCCCAAGCCACAAAAAAAATTCCGACTCCTGGTCCTGGTTCTCCCCCTCCTCACTGAATCCTCACAACAACCCGGTGAGGCTGAGAAGCCACGGCTGGCTGCCAACGTCACCCTGTGAGCATCATGACTGCGTGGGAATTCGAACCGTGGTCTCTCCCAGGTCCCACTCTGATGCCATCGCCACGACTCCACACTGGAGCTCATACCCGTTGCACAGAGTGGACCTAAGGGAATCCAGTTGCTTGGGAGGCATGTACAGAGCTCCAGCCCCACATAGGTGGAGCTCTTGGTAAACTCTTAGATCCGTATCCTTTGATTCACGGTGTGTGCTTTGCAAGAGGAGGAAGGGTTTGTTTTTCCACGAGCTCCTAGCAGTTTAAGGGAAGCTGTTTGCATAACTTGCAAAAACACACACAGGCCACAACATTTGAGGCTCTTCACTGCACAAATAAAATAAATTGCACAACGTGAATCACCCATAATTGGGGCTGCATCACTTCAAACAAAGCTCTTGTTTTGCTCTGTTTTGTTTTCTTAGATCTAGAGATGCAGTAAGCCAGGCTCGGCTTCTTCTTTAGAAAATGAAATAATCTAGATTTCCCCATCCTGTTGCCACAAGGCAGCTCAAAACATTTAAAGGCAATAAACTCAGCCGTGGCTACTGCTGCAAAGCCAGCGGGAGACAGAGACACCATGTATAAGCCCACAGACGCAAACCCAAGTTCACAATCGGGACCACGTCATGCAGCGGGGCAAAGGGAAACAAACCATGCTGCGGAAAGTCATCTGGGCTAATGAAATGTTTGTCAAGCTACATCTATCTTTAATAACTTAGAAAAAGGCCAGATTTGTGTACTTCTCTTGCAGTAAACTGATCAGACTCTTCCCCGCCCCCTAATAATGTTGCTGTTACTGAATCCGTTCAATAATAATAATTTTGAGGCAGCACTGGCCACCAACCCGGATGGCTTTAAGATAGCATCAGGCAACGTCAGGGAAGATATGGCTATTGATGGCTAGGCAATGCGTCTGAGCACCTGTTGCACTCAGGTAAGGAGAGTGCCTCTGGTTGCATCCTGCTTGCTAGTGTTGTAAACAAAAATCTGCCCTTTCCCCCTTATGGGGTATCCAAGAGCCCATATAGAGTCCTTACATAGGTTCCCTATTGGTAGGAGAAAATAACAGAGGCCAACCAGAGAATATTGAGAAGCAAAGCAGCTAGTAAGCCTGATCTTTATTGTTGCAACAGAGTGCTCTCCTCACACGCAGGAGAAGGAAGAGAACCCAGAACCCAGGTGTGCCCGCCCTTATATAGACATTTTAAATTCCCTGCCCTGGAGCTCAAGACCACCCCTCCATACATCATACCCACATCACAGAAGGGGTGTAACCCAAGACCACTCCCCAGATACATCATACCTACATCACAGGAAGGGCGGTCTGCAGCAGAAATCTGAGTGCTTTGTTTATCTCCTGTCTGGCAGGTTACCTGTTGATGCTTACTTGATTGGATTGCCTGGGGAGCCTGGCCAGTCTTTTGTAATGACAAATACTTAGTTCCTGAGCCAGGTCACAGGCTCACACCCTATTCATATCCGAAATGTGCCCTTAAGACAGGATTTGTGAAGGAAAAGACAATGGGGAGGTTTTTCCATTTTCCTTTGACCTTGCAGAGAAATCATTTGCTCAGTTTGGGAATAAAAAATGGTTTCGGGTCGGTCTTCTTGTGCTGATCTATGAATGTGCTTTCTGTGTATGTGCTTGGTTGGTACACTTATGAACATTTAACATATATCTAAGACCTCAAAATTCCTATCATGCTACTTTCGGACAGGCGCCTGGTCAGCCGCTGCGAGGACAAAATGCTGGACTAGAGGGGCCGCCAGTCTTCTTACCTTCTTAAGGAACAAACGAAACACAAGCACACCTTTGATGCAGCAGACAAATCACCAGGTCCCTGCTGGCCTTGTGAAGCCACTGTCTCCAACGGCCCAAGGTTGTGCAGAGACTCCAGTCCTCTCTGCTTTGTTTCCTTTCCCCAGTTCAGAGCTTGCAGGATGCTGTCCCTGCCTGGAGCAGTTTTTGTTTTCCAGACTGGCTGGCAAGTGCCTACCAGCCAGCTGCCCAGAGAAGACACTGCTGGGTGGGGACTTCCTCGCCTTCTCCTCTTGCTTGTTCTGGAGGGATCTGCAGAACATCGTGAGTCTTTCCTGCTGCTGGTCTCATGATGCC